GAATCTACATTATTGACAACGGACAATTGTGAAACAAGCACTTTTTCGACCTGGGCTGGACTTGGGCACTTCCAGCTTGGGAAACAAAGGAATGGAAGGAGTGGAAAGGAACGGAAAGGGAACGAGAGCCAATCGAAAGACATGGACATGCAAGGAAATGGAAAGGAATGGAAAAGAAATGAGGTTCAAGGAATGGAGACGCAATTGGCAATGATATGGGCAAACATGTCAAGGACATGGGACGGAGACTCGCCGCTGCAAAATGCTTAACACGGGAATTGGAAACGAGCACTTCTTCGGCCCGGGCTGGTCTTGAAGCGGCAAGTCTACTTTTCATTCCTTGAACTTTATCTTCGTGTCCTTTCCGTTATTTTCCAAGTCCCTTTCGTTTCTGTCATGTTCACCCTTTCTTTTTGCAGGTTCCTTCGGTTTCTTTCCAACTCCTTTCATGCTTGTTGTTCCATTGCTATTGTTGCCATGTGTTGTTTCCATTGTTTTTCATGTTCCACGCCGTTTTCTTTCCATGACCTTTCCATTTTCTTTCAAGTTTCTTTCATTTATGTCCATTTCCTTTTTTAATTAGTGAGGTTGATCTTTGTTTCAATTCCTGATGCTACGACACTGATAGATTATAGATCTCTTAAACTAGGAAACGTGAACTATCACAAGCAATGGACATGTCCAAATAAAGGGAACACACTTCGAACATAGAGATTTGCACTTTGTGCAGAGAAAGGCAACATGAATGTTAAAAAGGAAACACAGGTGAGGAACGCTAATCCCCGTCAATACAGGAACTTTAGTGGAGGAGAAATCGGAAAGAACCGACTAATATCCTCATTCAAACGGGGTCCGCCCTTTGCCGGGTGGTAATAACCTCAGAACCACGATCTGCCGAGTCAGGAATTTGTACGTTTGCTCAAGGCACTTGCTTGGATTTGCGAGGTCAAATTCAAAAGGCGAGTGTAACACTATAATTTACAATTTGAGTTTACGATTGAAAGAAGGGACGTGGCGAAAGTACGCCCTAATAAGGGCTGTCAAACGTTTAGTACTGGTTCAGCATCGGGTCAATTGAATGTAAAGGAGGCGGCGTGACTTTTCGGGTTTTGGCCTGAACAGAAAACATATTCATAGGTGGATATACCAATAGGGGGAGCTGGTTAGTCGTTGCGAGAGGAGTCGCCTCAATTCAATAATTCGGAAGGCCCCTGCTTTGAGACCTTCTTCGCCATCCTCATTTTGGTCAACACAGTTTTCATGGCCCTGGCACCTTGGACAGCAAGCTCCGGCTGAGAAATCGGAAGGACCGGTGGGTGACCGGTGCCTCCCATACGCCAAACATGACCTCAGAGCTTTCAGAAAGGTGCGGAAGCTTCTTCCAGCTCCAAGCTGAGGAATATCAGTTCAACGGGCTTCGTGTTGGCCTAGCATCTCGTCCGCATTCGACTGACAGAGCAGAGGTCGGGATTGTCGAAACATTGAGGTGCATGCCCTTTGCCCTTTGCCCTTTGCAGGCAAGGTTCGGGTCCTGAATTGTCAAGCCAATTGTCTTTTTTTTGATTGGTTTGTTTCTGGATGATGAATCATGTGCAATCCAGCTGGGCGGTGCAGGCGTGAAATTCAATCGAGGGCTGCTTTTGCGCTATCTGCAGTCCAAACGGTTTCCTGTCACATGCGAGCAAAGTTGGGGAGCTGACCGGACCCATCATTGAACGAGAGCCTTCCTGGCAGGAGCCTGCACAGCCGGATACTGCAAAAGTTGTTTGTTTGGCCAGCCTCCAGGAAGCCCTAGCCGTTGCACTTTTGAAATTTACAGACAAAACTGTGAAAGCCGAGTGCTGCACTTGAGTCTCATATTCAATTTGTCCTCCTGGCCAAATCGGACGCCCAATAGTCCATAGGTTTGACTGGCGCAGCGAGGAGATGGAATACCCAGACGTCTTTGACATGGGCTCGCTGTGGCCATGGGCACCCGAGGCTTTCCAGGCCGAACCTTCGTCTCGGCTTTCGAATGTGGCATGTCCTGAAAGCGAGGTGTCAAGCTCGTAGGGAGGAAGTGATCATGTTGAGAGGCCATCTCAACAGCCAGCAATTGAAGCAATCACTGCTGGTTAGATCGGCTGCTACTGTACTTGCTGGTTTGTGACAGGGGCATCGATTTGTTTGGATGGTCAAGAGCAACAGCTGACTGGACAGAACAGGGCCCGCGTAGGCGAATTATTCCATTTGCTCAGGCGCACGTAGCCAGTTCTTTGACAGTGGGCTGGGAAGCTCTGTGAGTAGGCATGGCGTTGGCTCCAATTGATAGCTTGCCGGCTCAGAGAGACAGAGAGAGAGAGAGAGAGAAGCAGAAGACAGACAGCCTGATCTTGATTTGCCTTCTTGTTTCTTCTTTAGCTGAAGGAATGGAGAAGGAACCGCCAGACCAGAAAAGTAAGTCTACTGCATGGCTTCCTTCTGGCAGCGGCATTTCCCTGGACCGCTCATTCTCTTCTCATTGGAAATTATCTTGCTGACAGCTGCCAGGGCTTCAGTGTGCCTGCGCTTATATTTCTGGACAACCGCGCACGCGAACTTAGCACAAAACGCTTGCCGCGTAGGCAAGTTGAACAGAAGCCACAGAGGTCTCACTGCATAGGTGCATAGGCACAGGCACTCATCATACTGACGTGCACCTCGCGCAGGCCGGTACATGGCGTAGGAGCCGGTGTGGGCATCGTTGCGTTCTGGGTTAGCTTCCGAAAAGCAATGCTCACATTCCAAAAGCGCCGTGGCATTTTTGCGCCTGGGAGGGAAGGAGGGAGGGCAAACACCATGCTTAGCTGCTGAGCACAGCACAGCTCTCCCAAGAAAAGTTACAACGCAGAAGTTACCGTCAGAGGGGTTGGAGCTTTCCAGGGAATGCGTTGTCCATCCGAGCCTCAGGCGTCAGAGTGGGTCTTCGGGCTGGCTTTCACATTCGAGTCTTGGCTGAATGGTTTGCTTGGACTGACTGTTTTGCTTGGTGGCGGCTGCCACCACTTCTATTGACATGCTTTGACGACTTGAAGCTGCGGATGAGTTTTGGCGCTCTCGTGCTTGCCAACCAGGGCTACGCGTCCTTTAGACTAACATTCCATGCCCGGAAAGATGCATTCGACCCGCACATATGGATACATGTTTCTTTCTTCTGACTGGGACTTAAATGGAACACAGAAGAAGCAAAAACATTTGTTCTGGCTAGGGAGTCAGGCAGCATTCGTTTGAGGAGCTAGTTCTGAAGCTGATCGGCCTTCGCTGCAGTTTCTTTCAGGACTGGGGAGCCATAGTTCCCTTCGGCCCCATTGATAATTTGAGATCCCTGCTTAGGCGGCGGGCGAAGCTTCTTGTGGAGACGCGTTCCCAACGTGTTTCTTATGCTGGCGCGTGTGAGGAATCGACAATTGGTCATTCCTGTGGGAAGGAGTGTTGCGTGTGGCTAGTCTGAAGTGCGTAGCCCACCCTTTCAGGCTTGTTGCATCAAGGAATAGCTGACCGCATAGCTCACCACAGAGCCCTTTCTCAATGCAGCCAGGAAGTTCGCAGAATGTTGATCATGTTGAGTTGCACAGGTGCGCTTTGGGAGAGCATGATTCAAATTCAATACATGTTGAAAGCAGCTAGAGAGCATAGCCCGCCGTTTTCGTGGACTGGCATGAACTGCTTTTGGCCCGGGAGGAACGAGGTGCACATTGGGCCGGTCAGTCCGCTGCGACAGACCGCTGGTCAGTGTCAGCTCAAAGTTGTGCAACTTTGGCACGTGGAAACACACACGCACACACACACACAATCGGCAAAACAAGATGGCACCATACAGAGAGGAAGAGAGAGACACACGGGCACACCGAGAGCAGCGTCAGGCCGTCAGGGACAGACACGCATGCGCACGTCCATGCGCACGCACCACCGGCTTTGCCATTCGGGGCATCCCCCCCGCGCGAAGAAGCCAAACCAACGGTTCCTATGTTTGAACCCCCCATTTACGTTCGGGCAGGATATGTGGAACTACCTCGATGTCCTCATCGTGATGTTTTGGATTCTTGATGTGCTGCCACTGGACCCGATGCTTTTGCGCACCATGGCTGCAGCATCGTTCGACATGTCCCACATGTTTCGACCTTACAACTGTTTGCCGGCCCCAGGATTGTGTTTCCTATTGCTACAAGTCTTGCTGCGAAATACCTGCGTGGATAGGGAATATGTTATGGCTTCACTGTGGTCTGCCTACAGGGGAGGTTGCTCCTGCGCCTTGAATGCCGCACAGGGTGCAAAGCACGCAGTGCCGAGGTGTGATGAGGTTGGCGAAGCTGCTGCGCTTGATCAAGCTGGCAAAGTCCATCAAGTCATTTGACTCGCTGCACCCCAGACTGGAATGTTTGTGCCTTTAAGATCTTTTGAGTACCTCAGTAATGTTGACCCCTTTAGTCTGCAACCCCCCCCCCTTGAAGGTCGGAAGGTTTTGGGGGGGCAAGATTTTGGAAGGTTTTTTGCCTTGACCCCCTAAATAATCTGGAATTGAGTTTCCATTTGATTTAGTATTGCTGGAGCTTCCTTTTGAGATCTGGAATTGAGTCTGCATTTGATTTAGTATTGCTGGCGCTTCCTTTTGAGATCTGGAATTGAGTTTCCATTTGATTTGGTATTGAGAAGGCCTGGTTGTCTTTTTTGGGGGGTGGGGCCGATGGACCGCACTAATTTAAGGGGGGCTAGCATTTGGTGGTGTAAGGGGCTAATGTGGGGTACGCTTTGAAACCTCTTAAACTTGTTTTGTTTAGTAAAGGGTTCAAGAAGAAATCGACCATCTCAGAACACTTTTTGTTTTTGGCTTGGGCAGGCCCAAAAGCATCCACCAAGCTTCAAGATGAGAGTAGGATGTGGAGGAACAGTATGAGGTGGGAGTGCGCAGTAGGTGTAGGTTCCAATCAGGCTGCTTATCATGCAGCATTGAGAAGTGTACAGCCTATTGGATGAGGAGGGAAGGCAAGAGATTGGGAAGAAGCATATGTGCAGAGTACATGCTATGAATTGCAAGCATGTCAGTTGATTGACACATTTTCGAGCAATTTCTAAGAAATGAGCTCAAGAAGCAGTGGAGAACATGTCATAGCAGCAGGAGGGACCGGTCTAATTATTTTTGGAACCTTTTTTTTTTTGGAGGCCTTTAGTTAGGTGCCCCACAAGGTGGCCGTGGTTCGAGTGGTACGGAACTGCTATGGTGGCCGGTGGGTGTTCACAGGCCACGACACCCTGGTCTGAAACACAACGGTGGCGACCAGCTTCATGACATGTAGCAGTGAGCGACCCCATGCCTGCATGAATTCACGCAGGGGAGACAAAGCATGAACATATAGCAAAAAGGCGACGAGGACGGTGATGATTTTACTCTATGTGCCTTGCTTGAGTGTGTGTGTGGTGATGGTGGCCTGGTGATTCTTACGCTGAGCTGATGCTGATGGTGCTTATCAACGGCGAGCATTATGATGAGCGCTTTGGTGAACATAGTGACAGATGATGGCACACATGACTAAGTGCGACAATAACTATGGGAATGACTGATGGGTGGCGTGTTCCTGCAGATGGCACGGAGCGCCAAACATGCACGGGGTCGTGCAGCAGGAGGTTCCTGCATGAGTTCACTTGCTGTGAAAGTGGCTTCTTTGCTGTGACGTATGTATCATGTGTGCATCGCGGCCGTGATGGCCGTTCTGATGTTGGGGATGGCCACTATAGTGTCCACGAGAATGTTTATAAGTTATTGGAAGCTCATTGGGAGTACACAGGTTCGGGTGTTCGTGGTTGGGTGCGACGTGGCACACTGCCCAAAATCGCGGATAAGGTGAGAACACAGCCAGCAGTGTGCAACAGACATTCCGCGGCTCAGGTATTTGTTGACGGCCTCCATAGCCAGCAGCATCTTGGCTGAAGTGGCATTTGGCTGGAGATGTCGTTATATAGGCTTCACATTCCGTGGAGCCTGGCACGCAAATACGCAAGACTTGTATTTCCTCAAATTTCCTCAGCGCTACTGCGTGTCTAGGCACGTCAGTATGATCAGGGCGCTGGAAACAGCAATTTGCCATTACTTTTTGACAAGACTATTCGGGTCGCAACAGATAGCAAAATTAATTTCAGCGCGGGACAGTCTCACGGCTCCATGCGCAGGCTGAAAGACACAGGCGACACAGACAGAGAGAGGGAGAGAGAGAGAGAGATTGGCTGACTCACTCACTGACCGGCAAGCCAGCCGGCCAGCCATACGGCCCGCACACACACACACACTAATATGTATATATATATATATCATATAGGCGCACTACCCGCCCCCAAAGCGAATGTCGACCTTGCTAGCTGTTAGCGTCATTTCTTGTGATATCTTGTGATGTATGCAGTGCGCTTCAAAAAAGCAGTAACTATTCACATTCTATGCGATGCGATGTGCTGTTTTGGGGAGCTTTGAAGCTCGTTTGGGGAAACCAGCAAGGCCAGTGCCCAGGGGCAGCTTGAAAGCGCTTTAAAGCTCTCTGGATAATTTTCCTGTGCCTAAGGACACGGGAACTTTGTTTATTCAGAGCCCAATATGCTAGAAAGGTCGACGTTAGCTCTATAGTTTTTTTTTGGGCGCTGGCATGTATACCTAATCTATATTAACAAATCATGCGCAGCAATCAGACGCACCAGCGCGCCTAATGATGTGGGCATCAGCTTTGCCCGGCATGGTGTTGCGATTCTTCAATGTTTGCCTAATGCTCCATGAGGGAGAGGACCTCAGCCCTTTTGCCGTCTACCGCCGTTTCTTGCGGTGACGCAAGGCTTCCAAACGAAGTGAGGTGCTTCTGCGCTGGTTTGGTCGGGCATCCTCATCTGCATCGTGCAGCTGCTGGTGGCGCTGGTGCTCAGCACCTTTCTGTTTCTTTGGCTGCATCTTAACTTTGGTGCATTTTGCCACGGGATGTTGCGACTTTAACTTTTGGGTTTTCCGCATTAAACTTGCTTGGATAGGACTTTAACTTTTTGTCAACTAATGGGTTTTCCGTATTAAACCACTACAAACCACTAAAAGTTGAACTTTTAGCAGGCGAACAGAAAGCAACCGAGATAAGAAGGCTGAGGAAGCTGACGTCGGGAGAGTCGCAAGTCCATGGCTGATTCGCGGGCACGCTATGAGCAATCGCCTGGGAAGGGGAGGGGGGTGTACAATTAGCCCTGCGCCAACACATTGGCACAGGACCGAATTCCATGTAACACACTCAGTTGTGGGCTGCTTCAAACGCAAGAAAGCGGTCAGCAACATAAAACCTGGCCAGCTAGGTCCTGAGAGTGTCCTCGTGTACCACATGTGCGCCGAAAGACGGCCCTTTGCACGGGAACGCGCCGGCAAGTTTGAATTTGCGAGCTTGAGCTGCCAAAGTGTATTTCGTATACTGCTCTTATGTACTGCCAATTCGTAATGTTCGAGCTGCACTTCGAGTACATACTGCACGTGTATGCAAAACTTGTCGTAATCAAACTTGATTTGCAAGGTTCTTTGAGTACTACACTTGTCCCAGATGAAGACTTACGAGCTTTCAGACGGTGCCAAAGAGTTCTGCACATACTGCACAAAGCGTAAAAGCGGTGAGGAGCCAAGCGCAAAAGCAAACGACACCAACAGGGTAGCAGGGGGTGCTTTGGAAACATCCTGGGTCGCAAAGGCCATTGGGCCAGTCTGGTCTGACTATTGAGCGAAGGGTCCCTTGACAAGGTTGCCATTGCAGTGCCGGTGTACCAGGCAAACACATCCTTGCAAGCAGGTGCTCAACAGCAAAAGCAGGCTTGTTCGCAAATCTGCAACAGCAGCTGCTTGACTCTGATACTGACAATCTCTCCAACTCGTTGACGGCGTTTTGCTGTGATGGGCTTTGAGGACCAAGCTTTTTGTTGGATTCACCCCCAGTCCGGTGGGCACAGGCTGCCATACTGCGTGGATGAGTCCTTTCCGCTGGATGACCGATTCTTGGCTTGCGCGTGTGGGGCTTCATTTTATGACTGAACTGTGCGGAACTCAAACTGGTATGCCCCGCGCAGCCTTGTCGACTTCGGTTGCCCGACTTCACTGGTACTTGCAATTGCTAAGGGAATCAGTGAATGCATTGGTTGCCCCAAGTTGTGAGATCGTGCGAGCATGGCAGGTCATGCAGCTTCAAGAGCACACTTGCCGGGCTGATAGAAACATGTGCCGAGTCTGAAGTCTTTCCACCAGTTGGTACTTATTCTTGGCTTTTAGAATTGAGAGCAAGGTTGTGCGCAGGATTAGGTGGTTGGGGCAAGTTCCGCCTTGGCAGCGGGCGTAGTGACTACCTGAAGCAGCGAAACTGGTGATTCATGGGGCCCGTTCAGATTCCCAAGGCGAACCCGCCACAAAGGAGACAAAGAACACTATGCTTTGACCTTCTGGCATTGGAACTTGTATTGGGCAATCGCATTCAACTAAGTCTTGCAGTGCAAGGGGGTTGGACAACTTCTGGCAACCAACCAGGACTTGCCTGTTTCTAGGGATGTTTCATTCTTGCGTTGACACATGAATTGTTGTGCTGCGGTTGTGGCGCAGTTTTTGGTTTGTTCACGGCGAGGATTGGAAGTGTACCGCTACTTTGGCACCTTCTCCAAATCCATGCTGTCGATGTTCGCCCTGAGCTCAGCATGGCTCTCGATCAGAATCCTGGAAGTCTCGGGGGCCTGAAGGTTCTTGGTCCGAAGGTGAAGTGTGGTCTGAATGCCCAGGCTGCGAAGCAGAGCTTGTCGGACATGGGAGGATTTTGTCAAAATGTGTCAAAGTGTCAAGTGCCCCCCCCCCCTAACAACCTTTGGGCCAAGTTGACGTTGTGAGGCACAGGCTTTGTCAGCATGGTTTGCTCAGCCTATGGGTCACTCGCTTCAACGGCATTCCTTATCAGAGGGTATTGCTAGGTCAAGGCTTGAAAGCAACGGACCTAGGAGCTCACGCTTGGCAACTGGGTGCCCATCTCGCGCATTCTCTCAGCCACTTTGCCGCCTTTGGATTTCCTGGAGGCAAATACTGCTGACATGCTTGCGCTTATGTGTCCTCGCCAAAGCGCCGGCCTTGCCAGCTTGCATGCTTTGCAGTTGTCAGTTGTCCTTCGATGTCCTTTGCATTGTGTTTGACTTCTAGGCCGCCAGTCTAGCATCAGGATATGAGGGGCATCAGGTCAAAATAGGATGTTGCTGTCAACCTTGGCCAAGCACACTTGATTTGATTCGCACTTCTTCTAACCCCAGTCACAGCAAGCCTGACTCGCGCACAACAAGCCGACACTGCAAGATATCAAAGAGGCCCATGACGTGCTGGTTTCCCAACTGTTGGTCACCAGAATCAGTTGGGCTGCGCGCGCACAGTGCCAGAGTGACATTTTGTATTGGCCAAGGAGAAGGTCAGCGAGTGGTTCACGATTTTCACCCTGGCATTTCAGATCGTTCTGGGCTTCGCTGCTTCTGGGCCGCATTGTTTCCAGACGTCTCGTTTGTTGCCTGAGGCTGTCAACGGCCCCTGGGGTTTGGGCACATTTCGATTCGGTGTGCGGCTTGCGGCTTACGGCTGTGTTTCTCTTGTGGGGGTATTCCAACGTTCCGAGTTGCTCTTTGTTGAGCAAAGTAGTTGTACCTTTGGGGAATCCGACACGAAATGATGTTGTGCAGGCAAAACAGGAAATACTTTCTCAAAGCATCTTGGGTAGACTTAGGATACATTTTTCATTTTACCAGTGACTCAAAGTGAAGCAAACAATAACATATAGATTCTACAACTGGGCCTAACTCTAATCATGTATCGTAGTTGATGACATGTACGGGGATGCCGGGGACGCAGAGGCAGCGGCTGCCGACTTGGTTTCGTGCAGCAATGCAGGATTTAGCGAGCGCCGGAGTGTGAGCCCAACGTTTATATGCAGATCCCAAAAAGCCTTCAGCTTCAACAATCATTCCGGAAGAAGACCCCGTTCGAGATGCAAGACCCACCATCTACACGCTTGACTGGAGGCATTGGGGTTAGGCTTACATCGGCAACTTTGCAGTTGTAGCGGCCCAGCGGCATATTCTTGCACGGTGGTTCTCCGAATGGCAGGTCGAATCTGTCCAAATCCTCCCTTGCCAAGTGGCGCACGCATCGCATCAGTTTCGTGGCAACATAGTTAGAATGCATTGCTGCTGGACATGTAGTTTGTGAAACGCATCCCTACTGGATTTAAGAATTTGCCGTCCCACAAACATTTAAATTCAGCTCATTGATTACATGGTTCAATCAGACTCATGCCAGACATGTGTGCAGGTCATCAAGGTCATCACGGGCGTCTTCCTTACGGAAACTATGAAGGTGGCTTCTATGGACGATAGTCTCTCGGTGTGACTGTTTTGCCCGAAGCTTTCTTTCGTGCACTTTTCCAAGGTGTGAGGAATGTTTAAGATGGGACAGCGAAGCACAAGGCCGTCCAATGGGCGTTCCATTGCTGTAGCGCTTCTGAGTCGGACCGTTGCCAATGTTGCTCAATTCTTTCACGCATCCTCTTGCTGCTGGCAAAAGAGGCAAGTACTTCTTGATCGTTGGTACTTGTTCGAGGGTCGTAGATTGAATCCTGAAGGAACTGTCTGACTTCCTAACCACGTCCAGGAAGGATAAGTTGAACATGCACATGCTCCGAGGGAAAAGCAGTTCTGAACGCCTGGACAAGTCAATGTTTGTGCTGATTCATTGATCCTGGGAGGGCTTATGTTCGACACAGCACTGGGCAAAACCTGCGTACTGAAAGCCGGGTGAAAATACCTTTGGATGCACGTTGCAGGGCCCTTCATAACATAAGACAAATGTGTGTTGTGTGTGTGTGTGTGTGTGTGTGTGTGTGTGTGTGTGTGTGTGTGTGTGTGTGTGTGTGTGTGTGTGTGTGTGTGTGTGTGTGTGTGTGTGTGTGTGTGTGTGTGTGTGTGTTTGTGTTTGTGTTTGTGTTTGTGTTTGTGTGTCTGTCTGTCTGTGTTTGTGTGTTTGTTTGTTTGTTTGTCTCTCTGTGTGTCTGTTTGTGTGTCTGTTTGTGTGTTTGTCTGTGTGTCTGTCTGTGTGTCTGTCTGTGTTTCTGTGTCTCTGTGCCTCTGTGCTCTGTGTCTCTGTGTGTGTGTCTGTCTGTATGTGTTGGAGTGGGCTAACTTGGAAGCCAAAGCACCAATCGTATTGGAGCCCCTACTTAGGAGCCTGGCAGTATGGCAGACCAAGGCATCATGCTCAAGACCAAAGAGCGCGCCGTGCGACTTCACAAAGCCGCGTGGCTGCGAATAGCCCGATGAGGGCCATGCAGGAGCCATCATTCACGAAGGGTAACTGTTTGGGCCAACTCCAGCACTTTGAGATTAAATGTTGATACTCTGCCACCATGAGCTTGTCCAAGCCCAGGAGCGCAATTTACTTGAATTTGCCCATGTCTCAATTTGGGGGTGTGGAGATATTGGGCACTGTACCGAGTTTCGAAAGCCAGGTTTCATGCTGGTATCAAGGATTTTGCTTGACATGCTCCCGAGGCATATCCTTGCATGCAGGCCCAAGAGCGAAGAATAAGAACACCATTGCCATCATTGCATCAAGCATGTTTTTTTGCTAGCTTCAGGTTGCCCTAAGACATGTGGGCCTGACGTCCCAGCTCAGCTTTTTCTTGAATACTACGGTAAAGTAGCAGAACGGCTGATTATTTTGCGTCCTCGTTTGTTCATGCTTTGACTTGCACATGCGTGTGGGTTGATTGGCATGTGGCGGATTTGCCTGCGCTACGTTTCACCGCGGTATCGGCTTCCTTGACGCCAACTTTAGAGTCATGTCATGTCGTACTTTGCCATTACGAGGCAGCCCCATTTTGGCAGGTGAAGTTTCGCACGAGGTTTCATAGTTCAAGGCTTGATCACGTCGGCATTGTGCCCAAAGCAGTCTCACCGCTTTCAAATCCCAAACGAAAGCTGCGGCTGTCCTTTGCGCACGGAGCTGGCTTGCGTTGCGTCCCTTCTGAGGACAAGATGCGGCGCCTGTTTGAGCATGCAGACCTGGATGCCAGTGGTAGCATTGACTGCGTGGCACCATGGCCTGTTTGGGCAGAACGGTTTAGGCAGAACGGGGCCTAGTCCTGCCAGGCTTGTTGTATTTGGTTGTTTTTTGTTGGTGGTTTGGATTGGCTTGGGGGTTTCAACCCCATGGTCTTTTTTGAGGCTAAATGCCCGAACCAACCACCAACCAGAGGGCAGCTGTCCAGGGCAAAGAGGGCCCTGGCCTGCCGAAGGCCTGGCAGCCTGCGAGGCGGCCAGGATTTCAAGACGCATGGGCTGGCGCGGAATCGGCATGGCCTCGCCTCAGGAGTTTCATCAATTGCTCTGCGACAAAGAGGTTCGAGCCTGGAGCCTTGGCAGCAAATGGCACAGCCTTCGCTTGGCTGTGGACGGATTGAATGCAGGGCCTGGCTGAAGACACCACCAGTATGTTAGGACTGCTTGGCACATGTTCTCTTGTTGAGCTGCTAGCGAGCCAAGGGCTAAGCCTTATGACCGATGCATCTCTCTGTTCATTTACCATGGATTCACCGTGGGATGTTGCATTTGCAGGAGCGATTGCCACAACAAATTGCGACACTTTGAGGATGAACTTGCCTATGATTGACAGCCCCTCACGACATGAAACGCACTGCCGAGCTCCTGCGTGAGGGTCAAGCTCAGCCGTAAGGATTCTTTGTTTCCTCCTTTTTGGACCCCTCGGGCACCAAGAGACTAGACCTCTCCATTATAGGCTCGCCTCAATGGAGCTCGAGATCTTCTCGGACAACGATGGGGATGCCCTCTTTTCCATGTGCCGCAGCGGAAATTACTCGCAGTCGACGGTGTTTGCCGGCATTCGTCTCAGGCGGCAAGGTTTCACGGTTCATTTTGCAGCACATGTTGCACACAGCGGCAAGTCTTGCAGGTTTTACACACGGTGCAGCTTCGTTGGCACCATTCCATAGGGTGAAGTTTGGCAAACTCGAATCACCGCTCCACCTTCCCAGCTCGGCGTATGCCGGTCCAGAGCGGTTGTTTGCTTTGACGATGAAGCACCGTTTGTATGTGCAGGATCGACGACGGTGATGGCGTCATCACGCTTGACGAGCTCATTAAGGGAGTAGCCAGGTTGAAGGGCCAGGCGCGACCTTTTGAGCGTGGCCGGAGAAAGGGCATGCCTTTTCAAGTTAACACGTTGATCCCACCATTTTTCCCAAACCATGTTGCGGATGAGACAAAGCGCCAGCAACAGAATGCACATGAATGCACGCTCTTTTTTTTCTTCCAGCTGAGGGCCACCGGGCCTGGCAGCTGGCTGTTGGCGAGCCCTGACACACTGGTTTGTGCGCTTGGGTTGGTTAGGGTTTTGCTCATTCTTGCGGTTGTGTCGACAAGATGTTTGCGGCCGAAGCCATGGTCCAGTTGTTTGGTGCCAAGCCATGGTCCAAGTGGAAATGCCTCCAGTGTTGCTGTATCCGACCGCTTATTTGTGTAGTTGTTTGGTGGGGCTGAGAAGCACACATATCATCCTCTTAATGGAGGGAATGGATGGAAGAAGCTCTCCATTTGCTTAAGAGTATTGTTTTTTCCCCTGTTGGTTTAAAAGGGAATTGATCACTACTGTTTTTTGTTTTTTCCAGGGGTCTTAACCAATTGGAAGAAGCCCGTTGAGCCAGCCCTTGTGCTACTGGCATGTTCTGGATCTCCTTTTGGCCCGCTTTGTTCGATGATTCCGTGGACGGCGGGTTTCCACAGGAATGACTCCTGGATTTCCTACCAGAAGACCGTTCCTGCGCGGCTGATGTCACGGTGGCCTTTAGAAGTTTCATTTGGATATTCCCGGTGACTTAATCCAAACCTGCCAGGCACGCGGCGTGGATTTGGCAGCGTGGCGTAGTTGGGGGGGGAGCGGTGAAGACGGGCGGGGTAAACACAAATGAGCTTCGATTGAATGAGTTCTGTTGCCATTGTTTGCGAAATGCTTGGCACCTTTGAAAGAACCAAAGAGTTGGGTGTCAGCAGAGGCTTCATGCCATGCATGGGCAATAGGTTGCTGTTGTGTCAAGCGCTTTGGGCATTTTTGCACATATATACAGTGCATGGTGCGTGTTTGCCCTCAAATTGGCCGAGTTTGGGTTGAGTTTGCAGGCGTTTCAGCAGCCGAGGGACTTGGCAAATGTGAGCAAGAGGACTCTACAATAGTCGCGACGTTGGCCGTTACCAGATTTCCACGTTGTGGGGGCCCTTGCATGGTTCATAAGGTGAAGACTTGCATTTTGCCACCATAGGCTCGGAATGTCAATGTGGCCAGAAAAGGTTCTGCTTCTCGCACAGAGTTGAAGCTAGGCTACCTTCCACAAAACATATGCAGAAAGTGGTCCACAAATGAAAGAAACAAAAACATGTCGGCGCATGATGAATAAACACTTCTGATTACAGACACTTGATTTTTCAAGCCGACTGTCAGCCACTACTTTAGCTCTTTAGCTTGCACCCACAAGCTTGGCCAAGAGACCCCTCTGAAGAATTTATTGGCGCCTCCCAGGCCGCTCTGATGAGGGACGTCCCTTGTCCAAAATCCAAAAATGTTAAACAAGTTGCTTAAATTACCAAAGCTATTGACAATTAGTTTGCCAATTCCATTACCTTTCGCAGCCTCAAGGGTTGCATTCCAGAAATAAATGCTAGCGGCTTAGCCGCAAGCAGCTCATTTCTTCACTACAACTTGTAGAAAAATATAGAAGGTTGCACAAGCTTGTAAAGTTACCCCCCCCTTTTCAATTCTAGCCCTCCGTCCGAACAGCACAAACCCCCCTCTGATTCAGCCTGGCCCTCTCCCGCCCTGGAACTTGGTGAATGCGCAAAGACACCATACTATGTGTGTCTTCGGGCTCCGTGAAACTTTGATCCGCCCACCTCATATGGAATATCCATGTTGACAAAGTCCTTGAATATGAGTCATCATTTTAAAGGGCTGAAAAAAGGTGCAATTAGGAATTGAAATGGTCGAGGTGGCACTCGGTCGGTTAGATGTAGCGTATCGCGCTGCATTCGGTTGATCAACTTTCGAGCGCTTTTGGTGGCATTGCTTGAGGAAGCAATGTGCCCTTGAGTTGGGGTTAACTCTCATTACCAGCGGTAACTTCAGTTGCTTGGGCGTGAGCAAGTCTTCTTTTTGTAGTCTTCGCGTTTGTCAGAACATTGGCTGTAGTCCGTCGACTGTTGATCGCTTTGTCAATGGGTGTCCTTCCTCACCATGAGACGCAAGTGTCAATCAAAAGCGCACCGTCCATTTTAACGCGGATGTGACCTTGTAGCCTCAGATGTTTGAGTGGTGCAAATTGTCAAGCGTGTTCTTGAAGTAGTTTACTCCTTGAACGGGGTTTCTGAGCTGATTGTTGCAAGTCTCGGTGCATAAGTGCGAAGGCACGGACTTAAATAGCGAAGGACCTTGGGCCCAACATGAGTACGATTGCGAAGGCCAAGTGTCATGCAAAAGCAGAACAGGGGGAGCGGGGTGTATTCAACACGTGCCTCCATTGCTTGTTGATTGCGTGGGTTAGTCTCAAGCACGTCAACAGCTGCGGGCTAATACTAAACCTCCCCAACCCCGGCGTCATGGCCTTCAGGCTTTGGTGAGGGCCTGCATCACAGAACTCAGCCAGGACTGAGGTCTTGCTTCATGTGCACGGCGCAGCTAGATCGCTTGGCGGGTATTGAGGCCTTGGTATTGAGGCTAGATCGCTACGGTGAAGTCTTTGTATTGAGGCTTTGGTATTGGCAAACAAGATGCCGATCAGTCCGGTCCGGACCTTCTTGCAGTGGGCACCTGCTGGCGAAACTCATGCTTGGGTCCCCTGACTTTTTGAAGGCTTAGGCAAGCAAGCCAAGGGCAGCAAGAAGCATGGAGAAAGGCTGCGATTGGATGCTTTAGCTTAGCAGGCGATTTGTTTTGATCAACTCTTGTTCAAGCGCTCGCAGGACATCATGAAGATGCAGCAGAAAATGAAGAGACGCCCCGACATCTTCATAGAACTTGGCGATGAGGAGCACTTTCATCCCTTCGTCGCTCGCGGAGCGGGTGCGGACCATGTTTGGAGCGGGGCCGGGACGAGCTCGGAAACTTTAGTCAAATCGCGAAAACAAACAACTTCTTGTTTGTTTGCGTAATCCTCCACGCACTTTGGGCTGGCTGCCCCCCAACGTGATTTGCGTGTCATGCTTGTTTGTTAGCTTTGCTCGCGAAATTTGTTTCGATCTTTTGCCAGAGCCGGCCTTCAACAACCCGTGGCTTTAGCATTCTCTTATGGATGGCTAGGTATTCAAAGCTGCGCGCTGTTTTGTAAGTCCGAAGCACACAACTCGCAACAACAATATACATAAGATATATTGTATATGTATGTTTCTATATATTTATTTCCAGTGTGAAAATATATAGGTATAAACCTAAATAGAAAAGTCCTTGAACTCGGGTATGAAGGGACGACGTGTGTTTGTTTGCGTTGCCCTCTGCGAAAGCTTTCCGAAGGTTAATTGTTCTCTCGGAATGATGATGAACAACTTGTATTTGTCGGCGGCGTGCGCAGAATGCACACATATGCACACAGTCGGACGTAAGTGCCGTCTGCGGGTTGCTACAAGAATACGTCGCTGCAAACGCAACACCCGGCGGAAAGCGGCTTGTTGGAGTTTTAAGCGCAGAGTTCCAGCCAGATTTTCGGCAACGTTTCGCGTAAGATCCGCGAAAGTTTTGTGCTTCTGCGGGGCTTGCCTGCGGAAGTGCACTTCGCTTGCTACTTTGGAAATGGATTTTAAGATATGCGGATGTTTTACTTCGTGTGTGGCTTTTGTACTGAATGCGACGTTCGAGACGGGACTGCTGACGTGCGCAATCGCGTGCTACTTGTGCGGTGAATGTTGCGCCGATGTTGCGCAAATAGCTCCTCGAAAGCTCCACGACGGAGATCGCGAAATTCATTCTTCCGCGAAGAGCGCGTTGCCGCGAACAGGAGCTTTCAGACAACCGCCATATACATATATGTAATTATATTAGTATATTTATTCAAAGCGTCTATCATGTGCCCCATACTTCAAATAAAGCAAACACCTTGGTATTGGGAGGGGGTCTTAGCATATATATTAATATCTTTCTATCTTGAAATCATATCAGCAACGCACAAATATATCCATAAACAAAATGAAACACGCGACCCACTGTCTGTAACTTATGCTGCCTTTCCAAGTGTCCCGAACGCGGGCTGGAAGAGGCGTTGCTTCAGTTTTGCCTATGGAGGTGGACAAGATTGCGGCCACAAGAGGGGGCCTGACGGTCTGAAACATGGGGGGGTTGATTAGGGGTCCACGGGTGCATCCTGCAGAGTTTTGAACCATGGCAGGGGGCTAGACTCCCGTCCTGTTTCGGCTGGACTGTTTTGCCACATGCTGCAGTCAGACATTGCGCGTGCACATGCTATGTTGACGTTGGTGTTTGTTCGGCAGGATTGATTTGCCCCCACGCGCTGTTGTGCTTGTCCCGGACACGTGTTTTTGCGTCTGCTTAGATTTGCCACTTCTGCGTTCTGGCTCACACTTGTAGCGCAAATCTGGCAAACGGTGCCAGCTTTCGGTCCGCCCCTATTCAAAAATGTATATCGTGTATACATTATAAGAAGCACTAAACAATAATAAAACTAGACGACGTGTGGCCCGAAAACATTTAGTCGCACGAGGTTGTTTGTTGATCCGAAACATACACCCACCAAGTGTAAGATAAACATGGGCGGTCGTCAGAACACCATGGCACGGCATGATGTTGGTGAGGCTTCCTTTGTGCTGAGTTCTTTGCGTAGGTTCTCTCGGCAACGTTCTATGCAGTAAGTTTCTCTGCGCAAGTTGCTCTAGTGAGACAGGTTTTATGTGCATTTGTGGTGCGCGATGTATGCAAGCTAATGTGTAAGCTTAATTGTACAACTACGAAAGTTCTTTGTGTATTTGTTCTTTGCGCATGTTGGTTTGTGCAAATTGTGTCTGAACGTTTTCCTGTATGTGCAATTTATTGTGTAAGCTTCTCTGCGCATGTCGCTCTAATGAGACAGGTTTTACGTGCATTTGCTGCGCACTGTTCTCTATGCAAGCTGCTCCGTGCAAGTTTCTTTGCGCAATGTGTAATTTGCGCAATTTGTGCTATGTCAGTTTCTCTTTATATTATACCGTTGTCCTAGGCAGATACTTTTCTTTGCGCACATTTGTTTTGTGCAACTTATGTGTGAACATTGTCCATATGTAACAATTGTTTATGTAAGTTTTCTCTGTGCAAGTGTTCCTTGTAATTTTCTTGCGCAGCTTCTCTGTGCAAGTTTGTCTTCGGATTTGCCGATCTGCATGTATCCTCCATTTTATGCGCCAACCCACCAAGCATTCAGATTGGGAGTTGCTCAAAGATTGTGGACCTCCTTTTGGTAAGGTGTCACAGGCAGGCCAAAAGATTTTCGGGGGACCTCAGCTTTGAGAAGCAAAGTGGACTATTTTATAAAGGCTCAAGAAGCAGCTCGCAGTGTCACGCCATTTGTCCTTGACGGTTGGAAGCGCCTCCTGAAGACTTGTTCTTTCTGTAAGGTGTCGTGGCCAGTCCTTGTTGAGCTGAAAGGTAATGGGGTCTTGAACATCAAATGTTTCGCCCTGTTTTGCGGGAAGCCGGCAATCCAGATATTGTATATGTGTACATATGCATTCTTTCAAGCTTGTTAGGATCAAACCATTTCCCATTGCACCGTCCGAATGGCTTGGCTCACCGCTGGGCCCAAGAGTCCAGCACCAGCCAGAGGAATGGCAAGATGTGAGAGTTTTTGAGAGCTTCAGAATGCGGAAATTATCGCTCAATTTCTTGTCAAGATAAATGCTATGTGTCGCAAGAGCTGCGTGGCTTGTCTCGCTTTACTTTGTCATACTTTGTCAACCTGCAAGGGTGGTTCATTAGCATCAAGCGTCCACAACATGGTTAGAGACAAGCATGCAGAAGACGCCATTCCCACCAAGCCAAGTAGTGGGCAGACACGGAACGCTTGTCGGGTTGGCCAGTCAACGAAGGAGAGCGGTGATCACGTGCCGAAGGACCTGCGCAAAGGGTGTAGTGTTGTACTTGCGCAATGCACCATGCTGATTGCAGAGCAATGCTTGCAGTATCTAGGCGGAGTTGTAACTGTACAGTTGCTGGTGCATAAAGAAACGTAGCTGGCACCCCGGTCAGCACAGCCAGTGCACAGGAGCGCTTTGGAGAGCCTCAGCCACCCGCACTTTGAGGCACCAGTCACGGGCTCTTTGCACATGGAGTTTGCTTGTTACGGCAGAAGAACGGCTCGGATTGGCTCGTTGTCTCCCGTCACTTTTCATCTTACAAAAGCAATTAGCTTGAAAACCCAACGTTTGCTGTCATGCACTTCGTCGTCGTGCCGATGTCGTTTTTGTTGTTGGTGGTGGTGTTTTGTGCTTGCTTGCTTGCTTGCTTGCTTGCTTGCTTGCTTGCTTGCTTGCTTGCTTGCTTGCTTGCTTGCTTGCTTGCTTGCTTGCTTGCTTGCTTGCTTGCTTGCTTGCTTGCTTGTCTGATTGTTTGTTTATTTGTCGCTTGGTTGGTTTGTTGGTTTGTGTTTTGTTTTGTTTTATTGAGTGTTTTGGTTTGAAGAGGACAGGCCTTTGAAAGTCTTTGTTCTAAGGGATCAGCAACAACTCTCGCAACAGGTGCTGGCCGTTTGCACAGCAGCAGCAGGCGTTATTATTCACACTTTGAGAGCAGCAACACTATGAAAACTACGCTTAGTCATGGGGGAAAGGCGACGCACAGGTTCAAACCACTTCCACAGAGGCTTAAAGCAATTCATGGGGCAACCCCGACGCAACAGGTACAGTCGTGTGGCAGCGACGCTTGGTTGTCATTCTGAGTTGCGTTGTGAGGCATGGGGCCTTGAATAGGTGATGGGACAACATGATGCCCCTTTCAATGTAATCATGCCGGAAAAGTGGGCGCAGGCGCTGCTATGGCTGCTTCGAATCGCGGCAACTTGGCGAGGGGACTGAAGCTGGCGCACAACAGCAGCGGTTGTATGTGCGCTCCTAGCCTGCGGTTTGGATGGTCCGGTTGTCACTGGCATCGTTTGTTTGCACCAGCCTTGAACTCCCACATTCACTATTTTCTGAGCAACTTTGATGCCGAATTCCTGATTGATACATGTTCTGCCAGGGTGCTGTTGATTGGACCTTGACGACTCGTATCTTGTCATTGTCATCCAGAGCTGCATTGTTCATTGCCAAGTGTGCAAGAGAGCCACAGCTGACGCGCGCGGCTAGCCCACGGAGCAGACCAATCGCCTTCCTTTCCTCGGGCTTTCGGAGCAAACACACTGCATGCGTGCGTGTTCGGAAGCTATGATAAGCTTGCTCATTGTCACTGAGTCGGACTGGTCAGAAGAATGCAAGTTCCATTTCTGGCAGGCACAGTGTTCGATGATTTGGCATTGCTGTTTCGTACAACTCATTTGGCCGCAACGTGACATTAACATGCTGTGCCGGGATATGCATTTCAAAGAGCCGATTTGGATTCCCTACATGTGGCTTGCCAGCTTGCCTTATTCAAACAGAAGTGCACTCGGGATAAAGGCGTGTTCTTGTTCCGGCCCGCACCTGACCCCCACCACATGTACAAGTAGGTTAGCGGTGTGTGTTCGCCAGCTTGTTACAGCAATTGTTCAAAGTATCTTAAAGTCATTCTTCCAGCAATCCATGGTCCTGAGGTGATCTCCTGGCAAAAAGGATTTTCCTGAGCATGTTCTGTGCCGAAAGGCGTACTGTGCTGTACTGCGCAAGCATTGCGTTCAATGTATCGGCACGGAACTGCCAGCCGCTGTTGTCCTATCACACCCAATCTGGCAGAGTACGTAGGCCACTCAGTCTGTGGGCATCCTTCGAAGAAGGTGCCGATTGACGACCCACATGGCGACTGCGCACTGCCGCGCCAATATGACAATTTGCAAGCGGATGATTTTTGTGCAGTAGCGCTGCAACAATATAGAAACTATAGTTATAGTTATAGTTATGCAAAATGTTGTTATTCTGATTAGTTTTATGTTCTTCCATCTTTCCTTTGTTCTTTTCATTGTGTTTTCTTTCCATCTGATCATTGACTTTATGTCCTGTTTTTGTCTTAATTCCTTCCTTCCTTTATTTATTTCTGTGTTTCTTGTTTCATTATTTTATGTTTTTTCTTTCTTTCTTTCATTATTTCTTTCTGTCTGTTTGTCTGTCTTTCTCCCTATATGCATTTCTAATTGCATATCCATCTAACGATCTATTTATCTATCAGTCTATCCCTTTATTTGTCTGTCTATCTGTTTGCCTGCTTGCCTGCGTGTCTGTCTGTCTGTCTGCCTGTCTGTCTATCTATCTATCTATCTATCTATCTATCGATTTTTCTCTCTTTCTCTCTATCTATCTATCTATCCATCCATCCATCCATCTATTCATCCATCTATCTATATACCCATCTATCAATCTATCTATCTATCTACCTATCTATCTATCTATCTACCTATCTACCTATCTACCTACCTATCTACCTATCTGCCTTTCTATCTATCTATCTATCAATCTAATCTAATCTAATCTGATCTAATCTATCTCTCTATCTATCTATCTATCTATCTATCTTTCTTTCTATCTATCTATTCCTCCCTTTATGCATCTATTTCAGTATCTCCCTATCTATCAATCAATGAATCAGTCTATCTATCTATCTATCTATCTATCTATCTATCTATCCATCTGTCTATCTATCTATCTATCTGTCTGTCTGTCTGTTTGTCTATCTCGCTCTCTCTCTCTCTCTCTTTCTGTCTATATTTTTTAATTTCTCCATCCATTCATGTCTCTATTCAACTATTACATTGATTTATCTATCCCTCTATTTATCCATCTAGCTACCTACCTAGCTAGCTATCTATCTATCTATCTATCTCTGATATCTACCTACCTGCCTACCTAACCTAACCTACCTACCTACATACCTACCTATCTAACTACCTACCCACTTAACAACCTACCCCTTAATCTATGTATCTACTTACCCATTTATCTCTCTTTCTTTATTTATTTGCTTCTTATCTCTCTATCTTTCTTTTTATCTATCCACTTCCCACATTTCTATCTGCCTATCTATCTTTCGTTCTATCTCTCTCGCTCTCAGTCTTCTATCTATCTATCTAATCTATTTATCTATCGACCTTGCAAAAGTGCTTCGCCTGCCATGAGCGCCTGCCATGAAATCTGCACCTCACCCAAGCAGTGCTGCGCCTGCCGCGAAATCCGTACCCGACCTTGCGAAAGTGCCGCGCCTGCTGCCAAATCTGCACGTGACCTTGCAGAATTGCCGCGCTTGCCACGAAATCTGCACCCGACCTTGCGAAAGTCCTGCGCCTGACAAGCAAACCAGTCTTGCGATCAGTGCACGTGTCAGGGCCGCTCCGAACGTCAGGCGCGCCCCGAAGCACCGAATTAAACTTTTTAGAATTTCTTGTATACCCAGCCGGACCTGCATGATGTTTCTTGTCATTTGTTTCAGAGGGCTAGCTTCAATTAGTTGCCCTAAAACGGAAGTTCCTTTCAACTTCCTTTGATACAGAAAGGCCAAATGCTCCACACAGCCTGCCTTGAAGCATGTTCAATGCATGTTTCATGCGCTGTAAGTGTGTGTGACTCTGTTTAACTGGACCTGGCTTTACTTGAAGACTTGGCCGATGGCCCGTCAGTGCGCATGGCTTGCGGAAATTCTTTTGAAAGGCGTACTCCTGTCACCTGCCTGCAACAGGTTGGATTGCGCCAGCATGGCCGGATGGTTTCGTATTGTAGCCCCTTCCCCCATTGAAAGCAATCTACCCCTCTTAGAGCGCTTCAGGCTAGAGCAGGTCGAATTGCGATGCACGGACCCCATGACTTTGCTAGTCTTGGGACCGAACCAAACACTTGGTAGTTCTTTAAGAATGAGCTGGCGCACTCTAGCTCAACTTGCATGGGCAAGACCTGCTCGCAAGCTGTTGCACCAGCACAGGGGCAGGCTGAAAGCATCGTGGATAATAGTCATGGGGCAGCAAAGGCTGCTGAAATAAATTCACCCGCACCTGCTTTTGTGTGAGCCACTTCATGGCATGCTGGGTTTGAGCCAAGTCGATGCAGAAACAAAATGTATATTCGAATGCGATTTGCCACGTTTGGCTGGGGAAGGAACCCTCTGAGATACCAGATGTCACTTGAGGCACACTGAGGCGAGGCCCCAAAGCGTGCTTTCCCCTTGGGATGAACGTCACGTTCATGAACCAGGGGAAAACCTGAAATGGAGCCGATTCTTATTTGTACCATTCGCAGCGGGAGGGTGAGTTGGAGGCAGCACTGCAATACAGCCGCAGCGTCTAAAACACACTTTGCGATTCTTGCACCCGTGCATGCTGCATGAGTCTTGGCTAAGTCTCCCGTGCTGACATGTCCTAGTCTTGTGGCAATATAAGCTAAATGCAAGCAAGGCTGTGAGCATAGGGCAAGCACCAGTCATGGGCGTGTTCACCGTTCACCCGTTGCCCAGCTCGACATCTTTCCTGCTGGTTTGGGTATGTTTTGCTGGGTGTCAGGCTGCCAGCGCGGCACCCCGTGTTTGTGGTAGGCCCAATTCATAGGTCGCGTGCCTCAGGCTCTCCCACTCAAGTTTCCGCATAAACTCTGGGAAAGCTATAACATGAGGTGACGGTACGTGATGACAACTTGCGGCCGGACAAGCGGTGCATTTGATCCCCAGTTGCTTTCTTCCCCTGAGGGCTGGCAATAAATCCAACTCGCTTCAATTCAATTCATTGAAACTGTTGACAACACCCTAGGCCCTACTCTTTTCCCTATGCATACGTGCCTAGATGATGCCTGAAACTTCGGACTACGCCTTAATCGTACGTGCCTGGTTTCCTGAGTTTTGACCATGGCTCGTGTGCTGCAGCTATTCGCTCGACTGGAATTCCTAGGCTCAAATCATAATGATGCAGAGGGGCAGCTGAGAAGCTGTGGCATCGCTTTCAATTCTTTCAACTCTAACTGTGAGGCGGGTTGCCTTCGAAAACTGGTGTTGCCTGGAGTGGCCTTTTACCTGATCCAAAGTCCTTGCCGCGCAAGGCTTTGGGCATCAAGTCGCCTTGCATGCCTTGCCATGGCCATAGCCAGGGCATAGCCATGTGATACCGTATGCCACAGCCTGAGCAGCTGTGACATTTTGCCAGGGTACCTTTCAGTGGAGCGTTTCCGTGGTGCTTGGCATTCAGAGGATAGGTTATTCGTGTTTGGAGATACAGGCTGCGGCAAGTCCGGAATTCCGATTCCTTGGAGTTTGAGCTTGCTCGCCTGAGGTTTCATCATGTACCCCGATGTCGAGGAAGCGGCATCTCATGGCGCATGCTTGACTTTGTTTCGTTGATTTGCATTTGGGATATGTGCAAACAACTCTTGATGTCGGCGTTTCAACTCCCGCCCATGCCGTTGTGTATTTGGGGTTGTGTCGGGGAGGCAAGGGCCCACTGCCTCGCAGATTCCAAGATCTAAGGGTGAAGTACATACCCCTTGTTCATACCCATGGCTTCCCTGGTTTCCAGCCCACTTTATAAGGGGTATAACCTTTTGGGGAGAGGGGTATGAACACCAGGCCTTTTGGGTTCATTTTTCCAAGGTATGTAAAAGGGTGGAAGTACCTTGGCACCCCTGGACAAGAAACTCTTAAGCCAAGACTGGAGAATCGACGTTTGGGTCGGATCATATCCGAGTCGGCAGGCCGATGGCACCGAGTGGGCGCAGCACTTCTCTTCGCAGCAGAAGGCCGCGGAGGTGCCTCGCACGGGTTGCCATACGTTTTTTGGGCAATGCGCTGAATTCATGGGCCCTTTTCGGATACAAAAACGCTGATCACGGATTTCGAGGTCGCGTCTGATCCGGTACATGTTTGCAGCATGTGCGTGAGTTTGTGGTTTGTCTTCACAGCTCATTGGGGGTGTTGGCTGCTTTCCGATCACGGAGCCATCCATCCCAGGCTGATAAATCCGTGCAGAAGAAAGAACTATTTTGCACAACCTGTAGTAAGCTCGTTATTTGTTTGCACCCGCAAAGGCTGTTTCAATGATCCCTGATGGGTTCACGTCAATCAGCCAATAGTTTGTGCCTGTAGGCTCATGTAGGTAATTAATGTAGATGATTGATGCTGGGTTGCGCAGTGTTGTGTTGATTCTCTTGGAGGTGGTTCTTGTTGGAGCAAAACTTCTTGTGTGGGAGGCCTGTTTGTTGGAAGGCTTGATGCATTGGAGCTGGAGGCTCGACTGCAGCAGCTGGAGCAGCAGAAGGCCTCCAAGAAGTTCTGGGATGACTACCGGCCCCTCGGACCGAGATCTGCCCCTCCAGGCCCAGCCCTGCCAACCTGGGGCCTCTTCGCCAACCACCCTGCAACGTTTGCGTCAAGCTTGCCGTATTGTAGCGTAACGCAGCTTTGCGGGCGCAGATGATCCGGAATCTGCGCGCATGCAGATGAACCCCTTCCACTTTAACTCCCAGAGAGTAGAGACTGATATGCCAGCTGGTCAACTAGGCGGGCGTGCTGGGCATGTTTGTTGCCCTGGAAATCCATTAGGAACCCTGGACGTCGGAGGCCATTTCTGAAATGGCCTAGTACCCCTCGGCCATTTTAAGAAAATGCTCGGCCATTTGTGGGTCTTCACCAACGGCCTATTAAGGAACATCAAACGGCCAATTCTGAAATGGCTCTTAGGTATGGCATTGCTTTGCGATTCAGTGTGCTTCAGTGGGTTGGGGTTGCCTTTTGAAGGTCTTTGGCCAATAGCTCTGAGAGCTTTTCAGCAAGGCAAACTACATTTTTACAAACCCTGGGCGTCCTCGCCCATGTCTGAAAAGGCCTAGGTGCCCTCGACCATTCTAAGGAAACGCTGGACCATTTTAGGGTCCTTACAAATGTCTGTTTCAAATTCGTCGAGCGGCCTTTTCCGATGACTGTTGTCATAGCCCGGCAGCCAGGAGCCTTGTGTGTTATGTGAGCTTGGTCGGCTTAACGCTCGCTCTTACGTGTGCGTGTTGGCGCAATGGGCGTCTTACAGCAGTCTCGGAGAAGCTGGAGCGTGGACAAAGCGTGGACAAAGCGTGGACAAAGCGTGGAAGAGCCAATTGTGGGCGTGGAAAAGCCATTTCTGGGAGTGGAACATCCATTTGGGGGAGTGGACAAACCGTGGACATCCCGCCGAATGCCACCTCAGCCTGAAAGGCATGCAAGTTAAAGTGGCGGAGTTGAAGTCTACAGAGCTCAACTGCGCGACCTTTTCAAAGACAAAAGGCGATTCCAAACGAGCCTAGCTTGAACACGGGCTTGCGTGATGGCTGGACTACGGCCGCGGTAGCTTATTGGCTAACATCGAGCTCCACAAATGGTTGTCCAAAGCTACTGAAAACGCGGGTTTTTCTTTTTTAGGTCCTTCGACAAACAGCCAGTCAAAGGAATTTGGAAGTTCAGGGAGTCAAATTCTGACTTGGCTAATGTGAGCTTGGGGCCTATATGATTGCCAGCTTTGTGTGGGGGGGGGGTCTTGCTTATTGGCCAACATGGTAGTCCAGAAATATGGTCTTACTTATTGGCCAACATGGGAATCCAGAAATGGCTCTTCGGAACCAGTGAAAACATGCATTCTTGCCACAAATGGCTCTTCGACAAACGGCCGTTTCTGAAAAGGCCTTTTGAATTCCAGGGGGAAAGTAATCCCGGATGCGAAGGATTATCTTGCTTGCCTGTGTCGGCAAAGGCCCACTAGGCCGCGAAGGCCTTACTTGTGCCGGGTTTCCCTTGTCAAGCAGGGCATCGACAAGCCATAGCTCTTCTGTGCCGATAAGTGTTGCAACATACGGGATGGCTCGTCGCTGCTTGCAAATCAAGGTTTCTGTTTGACTACGCCAGGGTAGACTGAAACCCAGTGCTGGTCCACCACCCCCAAAAGCGGAACCCATGGCCTGGGTTTAAGTCTAGCTTGGGGTGGCCAAAAAGTGGAACCCTGTTGCTAATGCTTACTCTGCTTGCTAGGTGTGAGCTACCTTTCGGAAGACTTGACCTTCGCCAGCACCATTTGAGGGATCCTCACAAACTCCGCCTCAAGGACCTGTATTGGGGTGGAATACGGCTAACACCCTACAAGAGGAAGGCACCCCTTAGAAACGAAGCCTGCGACAAGGTGAAACCTTCTGGGCCCTGTAAAACGGAGGCGACCCTTTAACACGAAGCCTGCAGAGATATTCCATGTTTACACCTTGTAATTTTGGAGATAGCTAATTTGCATTGCTGGGGCATGAACACTACGCTTTTACGAATCCGTGCTTTGCCTGAGGCGACGGGAGCAGAGGTTCCAGCAGTGCCAGAGCAGCATGGTGATACGCCCAGCTGTCGCAGGTTTGCCGAGCAAGTGCCAGAGGCAAGCCACTATTAACCTCGCCTCTGTGATGTTTCCCGCATTTTACCCCCCTCCAACATCCAAGGTTGTCAATGTGAGGAAAAGGCTTTGAAAGGTCATGTTATTTTTACCACCTGCGTCAGGTTGACGATTGTCACAGTTTCTGTAGCACTCTTCAAGCAAACTGACTAGAAGTTGCTGGCTGTCCAAGTTGCGTGTTTACCATGGAAGTACCAATCAGTTTTCACAGAACATGTGTCTCCTTTGCTTTGGGCCGGGAGACGTAGAAGTGGATGAATGCAGGTACTTCTGTTTTCACAAAGTGCGGGCTGGCTTGCACAATCATCGCCGGTTTCTGTTTACTGCGACGGCAACGCTGCTTTTCAAAGTTTCTGTTTGGAAGGGACTAATTGAGATGAACAAGAAAGGCCGTGGCACAAGTTGTGCTTTCCTGCATGCGTACCGCATAAACCCAGTGTCATTTGCGAGGCCATGTGCGTCGCTTGGCCCTTTCGCAAGTTTAGGGCAGGATCCTATGCTGAAGGCCTCAACCCGCATGCGTTGCAGCCTTGGCAAGGCTTGACAAGGCCGCTTTCAACCAGGGGCCATTCCAATTGCAGGGATGACAGGCTTCTTTCAGAGGGAATCCCGCGGGCTTCCCGGCTACCTTGGTCTGTTTTGAGGGCTGCCTTGGCAACCCCGGTTGCCCAAACCTTATCAATGCACCAGTATATACATGATCCGCATGTTTCGCGTGACCTAGGCCTCATCAAAGCCAAAGTTCTTCACGCGCTCACTGCAGGCAAGGGTCCGCCCGGATTTGCACTTCTGGCGAGCGGATCTGCGGGTGAAACGAGCTTCCTTATGAAGGTCGGCACTTTTCCATGGCAGGACTTCTGCTGCGACTCGCGTTGGGCTGGAATCCCTTACAGTATAGCTATGATGCATTTTGTTTGCAGCAGGTGCGACGGAATCACGGGGGGAGGACAGCTCTAGTAACTAGTAGCTCTAGTAAGGACAGAGTGGCGTCTGCCCGCTGGGGGGTGGCTTTCGACGTGGGCCCTCAGCTGAAGTCCAGCTGGGGGGGCGGGGGAATGGTTGCGACCAACTCGAGGTGGCAATTGATCAGTGGTGGTGCAGTGCATGTCATGCGTTGCTCAAGAGCCAGTAGCCAGTTGCCTGTTTGCTGACAGCGGCGTTCAAGCACGATTTGCATGGGACACTTTTCAGCAGCATGCATTTGCAACATGAGGCCACATTGAGTAAGCTCGCACGTGCCACAAGTGGGGTTCCTTAAGGCCTTCCCAGAACTGCGCAAGGCCTGGCGGAGAACTGGCTTTGACGCCTGCGCCCGAGCACGGAACGTTGGGCTTTGTGTCCTGGGCATTCGCTTCGCATGGCTCCATAGGGCGGCTTGGTCCTATGAGACTCGGCCTTTTTGCTAACTTTTGTTTGCTTCATGGGCACTCCACCTCCGGAAACTGTCGAGGCGCTGGAGTGTTCAGCGGATCTTAGGTCACAACATGTTTGTTAGTCCCGACCTGGCGACATCCAGAAAGCATGGGACAAGGGCTTGCTGAGCCACAAATTTTACGCCCGCCTTTTAAGCCATGTTTGGATTGTACATGTTGGATGCTGCAGAACAAAGTCAAACAAGCAACTAATTCGTCATTGCTTCCAAGCTTATGTATCTTGGAGGGGCCCGCCTTCGCCCATCACATGGGCGATTGATATTATTATATCGTAATATATATATATATATTCAACATGCACATGTTTTGCATGAAGGGATGGCCATGGGTGGGTAGTGGGGGGGCTGCCGCGTGAATGTGACCAAGTCACGCAGCGAGCAGGATCAGCTGTTCTTTCTGGGCCACGGAATGCTTCGGCGTTGGAACATTGTGAGTAGGCCGCTTTTTGTTTGCCTTCATTCTGCTTTGCATGGTGCCCCTGGCTTGGCACATGGCAACACCTGAAAGGGCGATGCTGATTTGCCTCTCGCACATCTTTCGGCCCTAAGCCTTAGCTGAACGAAACTTGACACAGTTGACCGCCGCGGCCATGGATTTCCGAGAGTTCCTGAAGAGGTACAAGGCTCCTGGGATTTCATGGCCTTCAAGCGAACAGCAGCAGTCGTTTCTACTTCACACACACTACTTCACATGTCTTGTTTGGCATTCATGTTGCTGCCATTCCAGTCTACTGGCAGGGGTTCACCTCTCCGAGGTATCCTCTCAAACGCAGGTGGGCCTGCTCTCAGCCCAACCTTTGATTGCACTAAAGGATTCGGGGAATTGGGACAGGACGATTGCAATGTTTTCACACTGTTCGACAAACATGAGGTCAGATTTGTACTGCTTTCCGTTTTGGGGAAGCCCTCTTTTCAACATTCATGTTTGGAAGGAAGAGAGCTTCAGCTTTGTCTTGGTCTGAGCCTTTGACCCTTTGGCCTTTCATGCTTTGGGAAACATCCTTAATTCATGGACAGATGGACAGTTTGAGCGGTTTCCGTGTCCGCCCTGTGCGTTTTCCCGGCAGGTTAAGGACCTTCCGCTGCCAAAGGCCTTGGTGACGCTGAAGCAGTCTCAGGACGGCCTCTTCAGCGCTTCTTGGCTCAGATTGCACCCTGTTCACTTTTGCCAGTTGGTTTTTCGAGAAGGGTTTCCTTTGGCGCTTTGTGGCCTATGCTCTTTTTGGATCTTTTGGGGGTTTCTTCATTTTCCTGTCAGTTCTGGAGTCTGGCCCTGACTCAGCCGGGCAGGCTTCAAGTCACAGGTTCATGGGGAATCGGAAGCTGAGCAGCTACGTGCCAAAGCAACGTGCGCAGCATTCCGCTACAAGGAAGTTCGCGCGGGGTATCTCTAGATGTGGGCAGAACGCAAGAAATCAAATGTTGCCAGTGGGCCAACCCCCCCAGCGTGGAAGTCAATGTGGTTGATGCATTGCTGCTTAAGGAAACTTGATGGCCCAGCCAAGTTAGCAATGCCTTATTTGCAGCTCCTAGTCGCTGGCTCTGACATCAATGTGATTGGCATGATGAAATGATTCACGTCATATGGCATTGCAAGAGTTTGATCCGCAGCCAGCGATTCTGGTGCGGCGTACTTCGACACCCGCAGCCATCTTGTTGCCACACATGCAGACATGATCATGCTGATCACGTGCAAGACCTGACTTGCCTCAGGTTATGTTGCCGTGTTTGATGCCCACATTCTCCATTCTGGTTTCCTGGCATTTCCCGTTTATTTACTGAGGCTATACAAGCGCTTTCGGAGCATCACCTTCTTTCTGCCCCAGTGGTGGATGATGATGGACCGGGGTGGGTATGGGGCACCATGGCCATTGTGACAGCCTACCAGCTTGCAATTTGCCATCAAACTCTAAGGAGCCACGGTATTGCGTTTGCAGAGCGATGCTTATATGAACAGATTGCTTGGCGAGAGGCTAAGAGTCAGATACATTTCGCGCCAAAAGTGCCCTGCCAATCCTTTCACAAGTGGGCTGTCCTCAAAGGATCCTTCACTGAAAAAGGGTGCTGTTTATTGCTGGGAAGTATTGGCGCGCCTGGTTGCATCTCTTCTCCAACAGTCCTTGCCTTTCGCCAGCGACAGGAAAGCTGGTCACCATCCTGGACACCCTGGACATTGCTGCCTACATCGTGGAAATGGAGGCAGCAGGGAAGAAGGCGCTCCTAGGTGGCAAGTGCTTTCGAGCAAAGAGAAGATCTGCCAATAAAAAGCGCTGAGTTTGAGCTTTCAGGGGTTGCAGCCAGAGGATCGCCATTTTGAGTTGGGGATAAAGTAAGGAAGCTTTCCAGTCTCGCACAAGAAAGATGCAAAAGAAGCTTGGGGTGCCGACATTCGGATTCGGCCAACGCAGGAGTTGTGCGCTTTATTCCTGCCAGAAAGTCACGCAAAGATTTGCCCTTTTCGGTGTAGGCAGGCACTGCCTCAACGCGGTATCACTTGGTCAGCTCGCTGAAGTGGCAAGAATGTTCAGAAAGCACGCCAGCAAGAAACAATGTGTACGTACAGACATATTATATTGTCGGGGCGCATTGCTAATTTGAGGGGGGTGGTTCGGTTCAGCAGCAATTGTCACTGCTTGGGCCGTGCCGAATTCTTACATTCAGAATTGATGGAAGCTTAAAATAGCTCAATTTGTGTGTTTGCCAGCGGTGCCTTCCCCCCCGCGCCGTGCCCAGAAGATTTTGGGCCTCCTGAAGCCCACAGGTCAAATTCGATTTTCCTTGCGCAATACAGCTGACCGGTGACAGGGCTGCTAAGTCAATGTTTTTAGTGATCCAATTGAAGTCTTATGCTTGCACCAGCCATGGCCGGGATTAAGCCACAGTTCGTGCAAGTTTAACTCAGGCTGTCCGACGAGAAGCTTGAAAAGCTGCTGGGTGGCTTGGACTATTCAGATTGCATTTGGTCTTGAGCTATCCCTGAGCTCAGTCTACTATTTCATCATCATCATCATCATCATCATCATCATCATCATCATCATCATCATCATCACTACTGACTGCATGCACGTGCACAGCGAATTGCACAAAAACACATGCACAAATAGACATGGATATGTATATATGGCGTGCATATGTTACATGTGTGTAAATGTATGTACCCACCTGTTTACTCCATGTGCAGGTGTGCATGCGTCATACACCTTGTTACACCGGTGACCATGCTACTTGGGATGACCTGCAGATGCATGTGTTCGATGTGTTCGATGTGTTCGTGCGTTGGTGTAGCAACTATTGGCTTCTTTTCAGCCTCCGCGCTGGAACTCCACGGCAACCGTCCTGCAGCGCCTTGTTGAGGGCATTGGGCGAGCTTGCCATGCTTTCTCGAAGTCACATCACCTGCGTGAGGTGTGCCGGGCAAAGCAGGCAGCATGAGGGGTTGTTGCTGTGTTTGGGCAGGGCCAATGCTGCATCATTCTTCTTGGATACTTGCGGAGTGAGCATCATTTAATTTGGTTGAGTTTTGTTGTGGTGTTGTGTATTCGCTGGGGTTTGTTTTATGCATCTTTGATAGTGACGTCGCGTGCCGTTTCGGGCCGCGATGGCTCGTGTGGCGGTAAAGATGCAGGGTGCAAAACGGCGAAAGAGAAAGAGAATGTGGCGCCTGACAAGGGCCCCTCCAAGACAAAACTGATCTTCCAGGTACCCTCCCGCACATACCATGTTAGTGGGAGGAAGGGAACGTCTAACTATAGTTCTTAGTGTTGGTTGAAACTTCTGTTCGGCTTTGGCAGCAATACTGGTATAGGTCGCAACCCTTGCATGTTACATGCGTTTTGATCGCGTGAGAGCTGGCACTGTGCAGTTTGCTTTCAAAGCTTGATGCGTAATTACACGGGAAAAAACATTCACGCTCTAAGCCATGATGGCAAGGCAAACCTGCATCGCAATCGTGTGTAGTTCAGATGAAATTGCTTGGGCTCCAAACTCCCAGCGGCCAAGGACGGTGCAAAAACAGGACCTCTTGTGTCACAGCGGAGGAAGGCCTTGACAAGGCTGGGGGCACGTGCCGCCTCCCGGGCCGATCAGCCACAGAGTAAAATGATAAATGGGAGCGATGGGACAGGGCATGCATTTAGGATCCGAAGCAAGTTGGGTCGGGGTTTCAGCGTTTGTCAGCTGCTGCCTTTGCCTTCTACCAGGTTGCCGAGCGGCATTGTCAGCAGTTAGTGCTTCTGACACAGAGGTCTTTGCAAAGATTCGCGACATGACACTCTATGAACAAATAGCCTAGCCCTTTGTACACATCAGCACGCTATGTTTGCAGCAGCCTGACAGGTGTCTTACTCACAGAGTTTCATTGCAGATGGATTCCCAAACCCTCGGATTTTGTGTTGGAATGGTTCCATGCACATATCTTCGCAACCGCCGGCCAGTGCCGTTTAATGGGTTGTCCTTTTACCATCTCGTACCCTTGCATGCGATTCATTTCAGCTGACAAGCCAAGTAGCAATGCACGTTCAGGTCCTGGTGTTGTCTCAGACCTCAACCTGGCAGCTCCCTCCGGCTGCCAGGCTAGTGCCCAACCCATTGGCGGATCGCAAAGTCATTGGCCCACTCTAGCGAACAACATGTCTTTGCCTTTTCCCGTTTTCAGCATTTGATTGACTCGCTTTTTGGGTGTGCCTCTAAGTCAGATGTGTCATTGGTTTCTGTTCAGCCGCTTCACCAGGTCGTGGAGAGTATCCTTGGCGAGGGGCGGCGTGCGGTGGTGTTGAGTGAAGGCGGGGGATACATTCCATGTGGGGACTGTTGGAGGGGGGTTCCACCTCATCTATCCCTTTTGGGGGGCTTGGAGGGTTTCGTTGTTTCTCACCTTTGGAGGGGGTTACCACCTCATCCATGAGGCTTCTGACGACTTATAAGAAATCTCCCGGATATCACGTTTGAGGGAGCTCAGTTACTGCAAGCATGGCGAAGGGTTTTCGTGTAAGATCGCCTGAGAGATGGTGTGGGATTGCACAGGTAGATTGCACAGCCAGCAGTGCTGTTGTGCGGATGATGCATACAAAGCTTCTGATTGCGTCCGGCACAGCTTCCGGAGCCGAAAAGATTGCACAGAGAAAAAGAGGCAGAGAGAAGTCACACATAGAGATTGCAGAGTGGGATGAGCAGAGAGGTGCACTCTGCTTGAACAGACAATGTACCCAGAGATATCCGGGAGAGAGAGAGAGAGAGAGTGCGCAGAGAGACGTTGCAGTGAGATGTCGCGAAAAGATCGCGCAGATTGACCGCGAAGACTGTGCCCGACGGCTTGCCAAAACAACATGTCCTCTGAACTGACATGAGTTTCTAGGGCGGACGGCAGGACCAACGCAGTACGTAAAGCTGGTCTCCTTTTTGGGGGTCAGCGCGTCATTGTTCTGAAATGCTGGCATCACGTTGCTCGACCATTTGCCTTGTGGCTTGCAACCGGTTTTTCCTTGCTTACGGAAGATGTTGTTCGGCCACCTGCTTTCCAGTTGCCCGTGCTCCGGCTACTTGTGAGTAGCGTGTGGCAGGAAGGTGAACCTTTGCGGCACACCCTTGCACCGAGTGAATTCGTTGCGAGGCAAGCCGGAAAGCATCATCACCCACTCCACCGTGGTGACCTTTTTCAACAGCAAGCTCAAGGAGATTGAGGCCTGCCTGCTCAAATGTGGGGTTAGTGTTTTGTTGGCTTGGCTTCATCTGATCTGGCGAAAGGGCACCAGTATTTGGTCGATGGGAGTCGTGGCCCAGACTTGGCATGGCAGCCCGGCTTGTGCTTCCCCAGCAGCGCAACGCAGGGCCTTCTTAAGTTTTTTCCCTGGGCTGCCGAGCAGAAGAGGTGGTCAAAGGGGCCTTGGCCATTTTGCGGAAGGACGACTGACTTCCTTGATTCAAACTGAGTGACCCCGGGCCCTTCGAATTTGCTGCAGGGGGGAAGGGCTTTGCAACATGCCGGGGCCGCCTCTCTCAAAGTGCATCTGTTTTCCTTGCCAGGCATTGGTCGCCCCGAAGATGGCACAGGATGGATCGGCTCGCAGCTCACGAAAGGGACGGAAAGGTGGAAATCATACCTGGAAAAGGGGCGAAGTGCAGAAGCGCCTTTGGCGTTGTTTTTCTTAAGTTCAGGTGTTGCTGAGATTCGAGATGCGGGTATGGGTCAAAATTAAACCACCAGGGGACCGCAGGTTTTGGTCATTTTTCCATTTTTTCCAGTATTCCATTTTGGGTACCTACTTTTGACCCACAGCCATACCTGATCAGCCCAGATCTGTGCGGCCTTGCAGCTCACACTTCGGTGCAGTGTGTTGTTTTGTTTTGTTTTTTGGGGGGGGCTTCAGCATTCAAGCTACAGAGCTCCCTAGCAATTGATGTTTTCGGATGGAAGCGGAGAAGCAATTTCGAATGGAGTCGTTCCCTCCGACTGCTTTTTATTATGAAGTCCTGGAATGCGAGGACCTGTTTTGCTTGCTTAGGGGCCAAGTGCTGCGTAAGTGTGTGCAGCGGGTCGGTGGGTCAAGTTTGATGCGAGCCGGTCATTTTTCAATTGCCGAGCTAGGTTTTGCCATCACCCAGGTAAGTTTGTGCACCGTCGAAGACAATTATCCGCACCCCTAAAGCTAAGCTGCGGCGCAAGGTTCCTCCTGCTATAGCACAAGGTACATAATTTGTTAGGGAGAGGGCATCTGTTTGCTGTTGGAAGGTAGCAGGGACAACTCTTGTGGGACCTCGTTTAATAGTGAAAGCAGTGCTCGGGGTCCTCCATAAGCTTGGATGACCTGAGTGCGGCTTTAGAGTTGCCAATGCTTAGAAAAGTATTGCCAGCACTTCCCGTTGGATTGCCAGTACTTAGTTTTGTATTGCAAGTACCTAGCTCAGTATTGTCTAGTCTAAGTTTGTAAAAGACCAGGACCCACTCTCAGATTCCCGGCACTTTGTTAGAATTGCCTAGTCTAACTTGAGCATTGCCGGGACTTACTCTCCGAATACTCTTTTTGTTGAGTACAGTCATGTGAAATAGGCTCACTGGCTCCCAGGGCCCCCCTAGCCGTTGTGCGACTCTTTGGGGCTTGTTTTTGCATATGCGTAAATAAAGAAGTTATGAACTTGAGCCGATGTGTCAAACATAGGGGGACCCGCAAAGTTGCTGTTTTCCTGTGGCTATCCTTTTCAACCAAGCAGAGACGGGCATCCTCAACAGTAGCACGCTCATATTAGGCCGACTCGTCGGCTAGGACATTTGCACGCCTCGCGTCGTCACCATCCACGATCATGCCACTGTGCCCTGGCCTGCAGCCAGCATAGTTTAGGCAAGGGCCGCTTCAGATATGGGCCGTTGTGACAGCAGATCCTGGCCATGTCTTTCGCCCTTTCATGAAGCGTGGTCGCGAACCGTTCTTATAGACCTCTGTTCAATTCGTGGGCGTGGTAATCAGGGCTCCAGCCTCTCGTGTTTTAAGTCAGACTCAAATGCATGATATGGATACGCGCTAAAACCAGGGGCCCCTGCTGGTTCGATTATGTCTTTGTTGTTTAATCTGCACTTCGTGATGCGCACCTATGTGCCAATGCAAGGCACTGACGGCCTTTCAGACGCTTGTGGCGCAAGGAGACCGGGACGACTCATGCTAGGCGATGTTGCAGCTAGTACTGTTCAAAAGCCAACCATCCTCTTGGCATCAATGTGTCTTTGGTCATCTTTGGTGATTGTTTCATGGCTGTTTTGTTAATCAACCTTCACACTTCGTAGGCCGATTGAGAGAACCTTTGCTCGCAGGACTCTCGAGTCTGATCATCACAGATGATAGCGGCGCTGCGATCACTGTGGTTTCAGCCACGGATCTGGTTATGGCATTAGGAGCGATCCGGAAGTCGGCATTTCTCACGAGCGTGCAAAAGAGGGTATCTTAAACCAAAGCATGAATTCTCGATTAGCGACATGCTTTGACGACTTGAGCATGTCTTGGGCAAGGACATGAAGACGACAAATCCGCCATCCTTTCTGCAGCGCACCTGGAAGGGCGGGGCAATGGGTCTGCGAATAGCTTTGAGCCCAGAGATTTCTCACAGGCCTTACAGGGTTGAAGAGAGGCAAGCAGGTAGGTTGTTACTCGTCGAGATTGCACTAACCTGAGTGTGCAGTTTAGCAGGCAAAGGGTGTTCAATAGGGGCCAACACGACTGAGCAAGCAAACCGGACTTTCTGCGCTGTGTTGGCCGGACATGAGGATTTGTTTGCCAGTTGGCCTTTACCCGGGCTTGGTTCGTCCCATTTTGTCATGGTGGGGGGGCCCGATTTTGAGATTCACGAGATCCTGAAAAACGCCACATACCCAGCGTGTGATTTCAGTGTGTGCGGGGGCGTGGCCCAGGAATTGCGAGACAGAAACGTTGTCTTCTTTGCCACTTGGGCAGCAGTTGGTTCCGTCAAGTCATGGGCTATGCGACGTCTGCCATAGTCAGCTCACTGGGCAGTGTAATTCGTGTTGAAATGTTCAGGGACGTCGGCGAAGGAACTGGGTGGTTGTATCCGTCAGATGGCGGCATGGTCGGCTTCAAAAGGCCCCCGCTTGCAGGGATGACAATGAGCCAGCCTCGTTTGGGTTTGCGGTATGAAGCCTTGAGAAGCAATTTACGTTGAGGCAGCAAGCTGCTTCATCACTTGGTGCGCGCGTGCATTCCAGATGCAATGTGCCACGGAATTTGGAGCATGGCCTGGAAGGTGCCGAAATAGAGCCAAGAAGGCATTTACAACAAATACCAGTCTATAAAATATAGGTCAGTTTATCTTCTTCACTGCGGTCACCCAGCATATTTTTGGTGCCCTTATATAAACCAAGAGCAGGTGACGTGTTTGAATCAAGGCCACTTACGCAGTGTCGGTGCCCCAAGATTTGTTTGCGAAGTGCCCTTTTTGGCTTGATGGGGTTCTGATCCTGTTGAACTCGAACAGCTACCCGTGTCGAAGTGTGACAACTGCCACATACTGCCACATTTGATTGGGGCCGACCCGGAATGGCCCGAACATGGCGTTTTGGGAGTGTCAAAGCGTGTCATTTGAGTGTCAGTGGGGGTGCGAATCGAGGTCACTTAGCCCTTGCAAAGGTCACCAACGCTAGTGTCGGCCCCCCCCGCGTGCGTGTCATTCGCGTGTCGCTGCGGCTCGATTAGCCCGGACTGCGGGGTAGCGTCGGTCACCCCGTGTGACTGTCATTCGCGTTCACGTGTCGCTGCGGCTCGATTTGCCCGGACTGGGGAGGGATCTGCTGGGGGCAATCCGTGGGTCTAAGTGCCAGTTGGTCTTCGGTGTGAGCGAGCTCGTCGAATGTTGAGTTATGAATCCGCAGGCTGCAACCGGTGCTTTCTCATTTCGACTGCCTTGACTTGAAAAATTGCAACAATGTTGGCCAGTTCCTGTGCGACCAATGGCGCAAGCGTACCTATTTTAGCAGCATGCCTTGACAACCGGGTATCCACAAATGACATGAGCGCTCCCTCGAGACTGTGGAACTGGGGTCGGCTTGTCAGGTCGGTGACAGCCGGAAGCCCGACAGACACTTTAGCCACACGCGGGCGCCCATCATCTCAGTGAGCAATGAGACGCCGATGTCGATGGTGATCGTGGCTTGGCTACATTGTTGGGGCGAGGGGCAGGATCCGCCTTGCGAAGGAAAGCCTGGCAGCGAGTTCATAGAATGGCGTTGTGCCTATAACATCCTATAAACACACATGTGCAGATGTAGACATGTGTATATGTGTATATACATACATACATATATATATATATGTGTGTGTGTGTGTGTGTGTCTGTGTGTGTGTGTGTGTGTTTTCAGGCAAATGTCTTCTAGATGTGGCTTTTTGGGCGAACATCTTCTTTCCCTGTTCAGGAGAAGTTCGCCACCACGCGGGTGCACCGCATGCTGGTGGTGCCCGCAGGTAGCCGGAAGCCTGCGGGGGTGCTATCTTTGCTGGACATTTGCCGCTCGGAATTCAAAAGGCTGGGGCATCCTGGGTGCTCCCTAGGAATTTTGCGAGGGGCTCCTTTGACTGCCCAGTGAGCCATCATGTCGTCTTGGGATAAACAGTTATCCCTCCAGATAAAGCAGAGGTGGTTTCCCTTATCTTCAAGAGCGACGGGCTGCAAAGCAGAGACGTACATGTGACAAAAGCTTCTGTTGAATAAAGCTCACGGGGAAGCTTTGCACGTTCAGAAGCCATATCAAACTGCTAAACATGCCAGGAGGCCCACCAATGCGGAAGCTGCCGGGAGGGGCAAATACTCACTCCTTTAGTGCGCACCCCGGCTCTTCCCACCCCCTCAACACGTCTGACAATTTTTGAACTCCCCAAAGCTGGCTGACGGCTGATTTGCTGTAAAGCGTTTGCGCGGCAACACGAGAAACATGATTGAGCCACAGGCCTGGTGTGATTCTGGGGTTGGGCAAAGCTGGGTGCACTTGAAATCCCAATTGAATCGGGCTTACTGCGCTCTTGCTGTCACCATTTGCATTTGGGCAAATCATAGCGATGCAAACATTTGGGAGTTTGCGGCGTCACCCATAGATTTGCCCAAATTGCATACAACCGCGGTATGCCGCGGTGTCCACACATGTTACATTGGCAGACCTTTGTTGCCTTGATCACCTGAGGTAAGGGCCTCACCAGCGGAGCCTGAAAGGCAGGGCCTGGCGACGGTCTCGTTCTCGGACTGTGGTAGAGTAGCTGGCAAGCAACAATACAGCGGGCATGACGGTATGTGGCTGTAGCCAGGTTTGTCAACTATTCTGGCAGATTTGGGGAAGGGTCCTTTTGTGCATCGACGCTGGGTGACAGGCTTTCTCCCCAACCACTGCTGCTGCCGTGACCCGTTACATGTAGACTGCACGAAGCCCACACCCGTATATGGTGGTTTGTATTTGCACCTCCTGCGCATATTGACACAGAGAAGCATAGCCAAGGGTGAGGGTTGCTGCACAACTGAAAAGGCCACATATGCTCAGGTTGGGGGATGGCATGCATTTTTAAGAGGCCCAAGCTGCAGAGGTCAAGAGACAACTGGCTGCAAAAGTAATCAACCGGTGTTGTGTGCTTGTAAGGGACTGACACACACACACACACCCCTGAAAGCAAAACTGTTGCCGGAGGAAATCTTGCATGAATTTTATGGGATTGCGTATTTGCCACCCTGCAGCCCTGCTTAACATTGTGCTGTGACAGGCGCAACCGCTTGTAGTTAGCCAATGATCTAAATCTTGTATGCTCCATCCCAACTTGGTCAAACTGAGCACCAACATCAATAGGGCGTGCGGGGCAAGTTGTAACAAGATGGCATGGATCGGTTTTAAAGTCAATCAAGATATCCTCCATCCACCGACTGGCTTAGAAGACTCTCTGTAGCATTGTTTTATGTAGCTGAGCTCGCCGTCGCACGTTCTCTGGTTCATTTTGCCCTTTCTCATTTTCCTCCTGTGCGTGCATTGTGCTCAGTCAAAAGCTCAGCCAACACTAAAGCGAACGCTACAGTCAATCAGACCATCAACACTAGCAAAATCCGGGCAGGGCCAACGAAAAGGATATCCAGGCAAAACTTGCCCAATGGGTTTGTTGGCCCTGACGGGATTTGGGGAGGGTTCACTATAGTGTTGACCGCAGTGCTGACTGTAGAGTTGGCTGAGTTTTGACTGCGCAGGGGTAGGCAGTGCTTGGTTCTGCGATGGTTGCAAGTTTTCCTTCGTGCAACTTGCATTGCGTTTCTTTTCCCTTCAGCTTTTCTAGCAGTCTTCCTTGCGATGCCAACCATTCTCTTGTAGTTTGGTATTTAACCGTTTGCAAAGTTAAGGCTGCTGCTGCGCAATGCGCTTGAAGACAGTGTGGTTGATGGCAGAAATCTATAAGATTGCGTTTTGCCACCCCACGCCCCCTGCTTCACATTGTGCTGTGACAGTCAGAACCCCAACTGGGCACCAACATTAGCATAGGGGGGCAAGTTGTAACAAGATGGCATGTGTCAGTTTTAAAGGTCACGCAGGATTTCCTCCATCCACGGTATGACCACTGCTCACAATGCACTCAGCCCTCAGCACTGACGAGGTGTCAAAGCCTGTTCCCTTCGGGAAGTGGGGAGTTGGGGGAGGTGGGAGGTTCTGAAAGGGTGCTGTGTTCGGCTCAGCGTGTAGCCGTGTTCGTTGTTCCGAATGAGGTCCGAGGAAGCAATCGCTATTTGCTGATTGATTTCCCATTTGATTTGCAAAGTGTAGATCCAGCCGCTGTTGGCAATGTGAGACCTGGTTCACCCGGTTGTGAACCTGATTGTGACAGATCCACCCGGGCAGCGCCAAAAACCCTTATGAAAGGAGTTAATTGAGGTAGATCCACCCAATGATTGTTCATTACAATGAAACGGGAGTTATTCGAGAGTACATTTGGCGCAGGGGGATCAAAAAGCGAATTGAATTATACCCGTATGGAGGAATGACTTGAATCCTTCCTCCCCAGTTTTGCAAGCCTTCAACGCTCTAAGCTTGGCAGAAAGTGACATGTGACAACATGTGACATAAGCACTGTACAACTGGAAGGCCACACTGCCTTGTCTTTTGCGCCAGGCTGTCCTGTGGCTCTCGGCGCATTTGAAGCTTCCGCTCTTCTTTTCTGAGTTCCTGAGGGCTTCTGGCACCTGCCGTAGGCGCCAAAAGCTCATTTCGGATTGGGCCAATCCGTTTTGGAAAATTGCAAGCACGTGTTCTTTCTAGGCTCGCAAATCGTATGAACAGCACACCCACAGCAGCGCAGCATTTGCACTTGGATAACGAATCCAGGGGCCGAAAAGCATGCCTTACGGCTTCTTCATGGACGCATGGACCGGAGACAACGGTTGAAAGAGCAGGTGCTAGGATCTTGGGACGTTTCATATCATGCTACACGTTGGAGGATTGTTCAGGTGCATTGCTAATGCTTCTCACGTTTTGGTGTCCACTAGGAATGTGAAGCAATACAGTGATACAATGCACCTGGATGCTCCATTTTGAAGTCCACAGCTCAACGGAATCCAAGACGTGGGGCAACTTGCTGTGACTCAATGCCCTGAGATTGAACAAGGCGATGGATCAGCATTGAAGTCGCGGACTCGCCCTGGACTGCGCCTTGAAGCGCTGAAAGCCGAGTCTTGGAGGCGTTGGGCATTGCTAGCCTGAAGAGGTTGAGGTCAAAGGGCATCGAGTCCTCTCAGCGGTTGTTGCTGTCAGCGACTGGCAGGCCATGATTTCTGTGCAGCTTCTTGCGGCTAGCTTTTTATGAAATTTCAGGGGTCCGCGGCAGAAGTTACCGGGGATCTTTGCCAATCGGCCAAGTGGACGGGCCTTGGACCAGGTTCCAAGCCACAGGGACGTGGGCCTGGGCTCAGGACGCGCATCAGACTACGAAAACCTAAGGAAAAAAAGGGGTTGGCGTGCTGGCCCGGATGTGTAGTTCAACTCCATTGGGTGATGTGCATCATGCAGCATCCAAAAACAAGCTGAACTGTGTTAGTTGTCCTTTGGAAGAAGGAGTACAACCTAACATAACGCACATGGTTCAAGCCGTCTGTGCTCGGTTGAGGTGTCGCCGCACATGCGCCCGGGTGACTCAGCAGGTTGCATATGAGGTGTGTGATCAAAATTACCCGTAGTCTGAGCGACTTAGGGGGGCGCACTACAATTCCCATGTCCTCTTGGGGAGCAAGTAGTTTTGACCGTGACTCAAATGATTTCCCTTGTGCAGCGTAAATTGTAATGGCTCGGGCGAAGTTTCCATTGGCACTTATCAGCGGTATTCGGCGTATTTGCCGCACGCCCAGCGGACAAATTTCTAACTTGGATCTGACTTTAGCGCTTCCAGGGCAATTGGCATGCAAATCCGTCAGATGCCCGTTGCCATTGGACCACACACAGAAAGAAAAAAGGTTTGTTGGGCTGCCTACTGTTTTGACTCAACAAGTTTGAGAACACTGAGAAAGCCGTGTTTCTGAAGACTTAGCAGGAAGCACTTGGCATGTGAGCACGCTTCACATTTGGCTTGCGGCCCGAAGGGCCCAAGCCTTGGTGCCAACCAATCTGCTTGTTTGTTGCAGGGGCTACCCCTTTCCCAACTCAGCACTTATGTCATCAGGACCGTTTCTTGCACATTGGAGATGCCACTGTCACAGAGCCTGTGGAACAAGGCGAATACCAGAAGGAGCTTTCCGTGAGAGAGAGGGGCAAGCAACACGTACTCTTTCTGAAAACTATGTCTGTTTGACTATGTTTGACCAGCCTGCCATCCGTAGCCGTGCGACGAGTCGCTGGAAGGCCGGGCAGTCTTCGGCAGCACGGATGGCTTCAACGTGGGCCTCAGCCTTGCCCTTGGTGTCAGAGTGTTTGAATGGCTCGTGGAGGATCCACCCTTTATAGAGACTTTTAAACAGACATGGCCAGGGCGTTTAAGGAAGGAGTGTAGCCTAAGGAGTTTTGGCCATTCGAGCCACTCCTCGCAACTCAGAACTCCAGAGTATCTCCAGAGTGATGCAGGCAGTGCAGTCAGGATGGGTTGTCAGAACTGAGAACCGACGGGCGATTCGTCCGAAAGACTGGATTCGGCTTTACTCCTTTTTGTGGGCTTTGTGACAGAGGATCCAGCTGCTATCTCTAATGGAGCTTGTTTGATTGTTTGAACACAACGGATATTCACTCAGCGTCTTCTGAACGTGCCTTTGCGCTTGATCAATGCCATCCCGGCAACCGCTATGTTGCAGCCTGGCTGCCAAGCTCAAAGGACCCCAGAGTCATTTTGGTTTGAGGTCAGAGTCATGGGAAGCCAGTGCCGGAGTCTACGCTGAGACGCGCATTTCGCACGGCGGCCAAGCTTCTGAAATGCAAAGCTTCGGGAGTAGCAGGTTTGAATGGGTGCCCTTTCTTGCCTTGCGACCAACAGAGCGATGCAACAGTCATTGCCAAACATGCTGTTTTGTGACGACAAGCATGCCCCGCACAGCCAGCCATGAAGCCATCCCATCCTATCGCAAACAAACCCAGCCCGGTACGCTCAGACTTTATACACTACTCTATATACCATGCTTCTTTCAATGTTGAGCTTCACCGTTACTTCTGATTTGCATCTGATGTGATAATGTTCAGCCTGGCATGCTGCATCAACAATTTGCTTTGCTGGGCAACACCATGCCATTTTTTGGGCTGCAGTTCTCATTAAGTTCGCATGGGAAGCGCGCCCGCGTCGGCTGAGGTGAGATAGACTCCGACAAAGACGGCTTGGTGCTGGCCTCACAATGCGGATTTGCGGATTTGCGCAGCTCAGGGGGCCTTCTAAACAACTTTGGTTTTTTCAGCACCTGGTGCTCCAATGAGTTCTGTGGGCCATGCAGATCATGCATGATCATGCAACTTGCAACAGACCATTTAAATTGTGATGAGGCCAGTTTTCAAGCCAACAGGCATGGCCAGCATTTGAAGGACTCTGGTCCAGCAGGTCGCTAAACATCAATGTGTTTGTGTAAGCCATGATTGTGGGATGAATCCTCATCTCGGATGCGGGATGAAACATGCCCATCCCCGAGCCAGACAGCCCCATCAGTCACTGGCACCGGATCAGGACGTGGTTTGGTATCGGAAACCCGTGGAAACCATCTTGTCTCACCAGCTTGTTAGCCACAGCTGCTGACCTGAACATGCGCAGCTGGTGAAGGCCCATCCTCAGGTTTCAAAGGGCGTACGGTTGATTGATCTCGGAGTTGAGCTGGGCCTCCGGCCCTAGCTTTCGGGGTCAGGTCAGTGTGAAGCAACTCCTTCGTGCACTGCGGAATTGTGGTGCTGCTGCCGGGGGGGGGGGCCGAAAAGCTAAGGATAGCTATGGTGAATGCTTGGGTAATTGAGCAATCCTGAAGGCCTCATGCACAGCGCTGAGTTTCTAGTGCATTGCTGGCAGCTTGAGGAACAGTGCCTTTGGCTCCGAGTTTGTGAAAACATTTTATGTTGCGATGGAAGCTAGCTATGCTGACATAGAGTTTGCTGTTCTTTGGCACTGGACGGGTTGGACCGCGTAAGCAACATAACATTACTTGAATCAATGCTTTCGGGGTGCTGATGGGGATAGACCAGCTCTTTGCACTACAGTCCCCACCCTAAACCGGGCTGCCGCCTCCGTAACAATTATACGCAGCAAGTCCCGCTTGTGCTGCGCATCATAGTGGCCTGGAAAGCGCAGTTGACATACTTGAGTTGACGATGTGATGAGTTGTGTTGGGATGACAGTGTGCTTTGGACATGTCATGTTGCATATGAACGAGTCCTTACTTGCGGGTTCAACTTTGAGATGAAACAACACATCCTGAATCAGCGATCTCCAGCATGCTGCAGCAACCTACCAGTACTGTTTGTCAAGGGCTGTGTCTTTGTCAACATGGTGGGTCGAGCGTAGGCAGAGCAGTGCATAAAGCGGAAGTAATTTGGGACATGTTGGGCGCTGAAGTCCCATGTCCAGCCTTTTCCGAATGATGAAATACATGCCCACCTGCATGTACGTGGACCTTCCATTGTTGCACAATTTGGTGTCACTTTGAAACATGTGCGGGCCAACTATTTTTGCCCAATGATCCAACAAGTGCATCCACGGGTTTCTTGCGCAATTCACCAACTGTTATGTGCTTCAAATGTGCGCTCGCTTTGCAGGTATTTTCTTCGTTTTGCGGGTATGTTTTTGAACGAACTCCACGCAATAGACAACACAGAAGCTGCCGCAGAAGCAACACACGCTCGAATCCAAACTTGTGCCCGTTCCCCTGAGAAATACAAAGAAGACAAAAAACAACCACGTGATTAGCACATTCCTGCCACGAAGCATGCAAGGGGCAACACAAATGTAGCAATGAAGGTCCTATGTCTGATATTTCTGTTCAGGGTTACCATGATGCCAATGCGACACATGGCCGCATTTGCCCGATCTACCACGGCATGCAGCCGAATGCTATCAAACCCGCCTGGGCGAACCGCTTGCCAGGTGTGGATGCCTCCAGGGCCAACGTGGAACGCAACTCGGCGTAGTTCAGTGCGGAGTGGCAACTGCACGGAAGTCGCCCCCTGGTTCTCCTCACACCCTAAAACTGAGATCGCTGCTTTGGGCTTAGTTTCCTGAAGCCAAGCTGGAGCAGGCGGTAGGCTGAGAATCTGAGCGAGAAGCTCTATTCATTGGATGTCGAATCAAGGGGCGACTTGAAGTCGAAATGGTGAGAACACGGCAAGAGTTGTGATTTTGCATGCAACGAAGATGTAGCCAGCTGTTCTAACTGTAGGTCCTGCGGCACGCAGGACAGCCAACAGCCGCAACAAACTGCAAGAACTGCGACGGTAGGGCATGGCGTGTGATTCACTGCATTGTCTTTGGTTGTCCCGGTTCTGGGCCTTTCACAGAGCACTGATTTGGCAGATGGCCTGCTTGGCCAAGACCAATGAACAAGAAACCAAGCAAACACAAATCGTCAAACATGTGTTCGAGATTCCGATGTATGAGGCATCCTCCAGGAATGCGGCTATCATAGAGGCGTGGCGCCCATCCTTGGGGGCCAAATCGCTTGCATATGTCCACAATGGTAAGAATTCAGATTCGACTGCAGCTGCGGCGGCTTTTCGGTAGCGAGTACAGTTTTGGGCGCTGCTGTCACTAGCAAACCTGGGCTTTAAAATGTGACCGACCAATGTGTCTGATCGGGTGCTAAGCATCTTGTGCTATACTGTTTGATGTGGGAACCATTTGCATTATCCTTTTGAGCAGGGGATTGCTTTGTTTGGAGACACGCCCGTGTCATAGCACCAGGCCGCGCAAAAAGACTTGTTCAAAAGAGTTATGGCTCAAGCAGCCAAAGCTGTCATGTGTGGTTTGCCTGCCAGAACATGGCCAGGTCAGATCAACGAGGAGCAGTTTATCCGCTTCTTCAGGCTGGAGATGCCTTTGATGGACAACCGGTAGAAGATGTCTGAGGAAGCCACCCTTCGGCCATTGCAAGTGGCATTTTGCATTTTGGCAGCCAGCTCTTGCATGATGCGACGGCATGCTATTGCCCAGGGCAACGGAGAGGTTGTCGTGGTCGGTGGATGATGACTACAATCCTGCTGCGCACCCGGACTTGCCGCACATGTTGCGCCTTTGGGTTTTGAGCTCAGTGGCTTTCCGGCCCGAGGTATTTCCGCCGCGCTGCCATGTCCTTTGAACTGTCATGCCCCAGATTTCTCATAGCTTGTTGGGCTACTATCATTGGTGCTTTGCAAAAGGATTGACATTGGCATTTACATGCTGAGAATCCCTTGGAACTTGAGGATGTTTGAAGCAATGTGCTTAGCCATCCCCTTGACTATAGATTTCCTTTTGAGTGCGGCTCAGGTTCTCGCGTTTGTGTGTGCGTGTTGGTG